CTTTGAAGATCCAAGTTGAAATATGATACTTACCTTCTTACCTACAGTAAAAAGATTGAAAATGCAATGAGGCCAGTTCCAAAACGTAATTACGAAACTTAGTTTCTTGAAAACGTATTTGGATGTAGATCATACTATAAATAATGTAACATGCTGAAGTAGCCTCGTTCGATTTTGTGGAAATAAAGCGTACTTCATTTTTATTTATCAACAAAATTGTCAGGTATAATGAAAATCGAATACACCAAATGTCCTCATTACTAAACAGTTTAGCAGAATAGCGTGAGTAAAACATAAATTAGGCGAATTCAACGATAACATCCAAATTTCGTATTTGTAGCTCTATATTTCGATAAATATTTATTCTACTGTGTCGTGCGGTTTATATTGATGGTCTTCATTTCTTCCCAAATTTTAATTTTTTGCCTCTTTCCAGTTCATTACTATATGATGTCGTTAAGCGATTTTGAGTCAATATTTCTCTACGAATTGAACCAAAGCGCTACCGAACCATACCAAAAAATTTGCAAGGCATTTGGCAATGATAGTGTTAATGATCACATTGTTCCACGTTGGTTTGCAAATTTTCGTTACGGAGATTTCAGCCTCGAAGATGAGCCCCGAAGTGGTTGACCTTTAGTAATCCAAGACGAGGATTTGAGGACCCTGGTGAAGACTAACCCATCACAAACGGTGCGAAAGAATTGGGCGTCATCTCTTATGCGGTTTTTGATGATTTGAAACGTATTGAAAGGTTAACAGGCTCGAAAAGTGGGTGCCCTACGATTTGAACGATTGACAGAAATTGTCACGCTTCTTTGCTTATGCTTCTACTTTTCTACATCAGATGATAGTCGAAAAGGATAAGAAGAATTGGGTCCTAGTATAACATCAGAACCTGTTTCAGATCTGGGAACACTATCCGTAGCAGTCTCACGAAAACCAAGCTACCAAATGTGGACTGCGATTCCAAGAATTACATCGGTGAAACTAAGAGGCCATCGAAAGTTTGCATTGCCGAGCACAATAGTAACACACACAGCGATGAGAAACCAGCAAATCAGAAATAGTAGAGCATGTTTGGATTTATCAACATAACATCAAGTGGTCTCGAGCTGAAATCATCCAAAAGGAGAAACACTGGTTTAGGAGAAACTTCAAATAAGCCGCATATATGTTGTCCAACAACTCATTTAGCCAAGCTAGCGTAGAGATACACTACATATGGAAACCTATAATCAAGCGGAAAACGACCAACTCGTCGGAGAGAGGGAAGAAGGGGTAAATGAAAGCAGTCGAATGACCTATGAATTGTCAGATCTCGAAAGAATAAGTCCAGGCTCTATCAACGAACCCTTTTCCCAGAAGATAAAATTGCGGCATGTAGAATGGCCAATCAAGTCAAACACGCCATCATTGATCACCAAAACGAAAGGTGGGAGGAGCTCTTGGAAACCCTCGAGCCTGGGGATGACGAGCTTTTGCGAGTCACCCGTTGACTCCAAGGGAAGAAGACTGCTCTCTCACCCATTTACGGAGAGCGTGGAGGGTGCTACTTCCCCGCCGACAAAGCGTTGGCCTTTGCTGACACGATGGAACGTCAGTTTCAACTTAACGTTGACGACAATGATGACATCGGCCGCGATATTCTGCTGGAAGATCGGGTTCACCGTATCCTCAGGGAGGATGACGACGGTAACATCCGCCCAGCTTCTGTGGAAGAGCTAGAGCTGAAGGGTTATATCAGGGCCGCCAAAAAAGCTCCGGGGGTCGATTCAATAATCAATAGGTTGTTGAAGAGGCTCCCAGACAACTACGTCGAAAATCTACTGCAGACCTTTAACAGTTCGTTTGCCCTTAGATACTTCCCCATAAGGTGAAAGCATGCGATCGTTGTCATGATCCCAAAACAGGGTCAGAACTTGCTGTTCCCACAGAACTATCGCCCGATCAGTCTGCTCACGTCGGCGGCTAAGCTGGCTGAAAGAATCGTTCTGCAAAGATTCAACGAAGAAGTTAAGAACCGAAATGTTCTGTCTGACGAACAATTCGGCTTCAGGAGAGAACACTCAACTGAGCAGGCACTGAGAATATTCGGAAACACCATCGCAGAACTAAACTAAAATCGTAAAGTTCATGTCGTTCTTTTAGGCACCTCGAAGGCCTTCGACCGTGTATGGCACGAAGGTCTTCTGTATAAGCTAGTCGCGTTCGACCTGCCTCGGGGCCTGATCCGGTGGATTGGGTCTTTCCTGAAAGACACAACGTTTCAGGTTAGAGTAGAGGGCTCTCTGTCTGACAACAGAAAGATCCTTGCTGGAGTGCCACAGGGGGCTGTGCTCTCTCCCACGCTGTGTTCTCTTTACACCAGTGACCACCCGAGGTCCGAGCGTGTGAATATATCTTTCTACGCCGATGACACGGCTCTCCTCTCATCTTCCATGGGTTGGGAACTTGGGATCGTCGACACTCGAGCGCTGGTACCTCGAATGGAAGATCCGGACAAGACTCAGGCGATAACCATGGGAGAACGATATCTTCTCCGGTCAGAAAAGTGAGGAATGCTCCGTGATTCGTGCGGAATGAAGCCATCCACAGAGATTTGTAGCTGCCTTCCATCCAGCAGTCCATTCAGTCGGGAAATCGGCGAGTATTTTGATTGTGCTGAAACTCGCGAAAATCCGTTAGTTAGGTGAGCTTTAGATTATATTGTAGACGATCCCTCCCGATATAGAAGGCCCCGACACTCTGTCGAATCTGAGAACTTTCATACCGCCGCCACCTTTCAGTCATGTCCCATTTGTCCTTCTGACAATAATCCGCAACCTGTCTGAACTGAAGATGGCTGTCGAATAGTTCCAGTCATCACCTGAAGGTGTTAGGAATCACACGTTAAAAGGTAAGACATCGTTATTCCTTAGCTTGCACAAGTTTCTCAACTTCTGAGAGTTGTCGTTCGTATGTGGGTGACAACTGATTAACAGAAAAACAGATTTTAAACAGATTTTTGAACAGACGATTTTGGATACTAATTAACGAAACGTCGTGAAGTAACTTGGTCTGAAATATTTTAATTTTTCATTTTAATTCCTTGTTAATAATTTTCAATTTTGATTTATTGTTGATAGCTCTATTTTCAATTGTTGTTTGTATTTTATTTCATTGTAATTTCATATTTTTTTTGGTTAATATAATAATCAGTTAACTAGTTTAGTGATCCAATAATTTTTCAAAATAATATAATAATCTTTTTAATTTTTATAGAGGTTTCAAATCAATTTATATCATGTTAGACAATGGAAGTCCTATAACTTACTAATGAATTGCACCACGAAACATTGTCAACTACCAAAACGTAGACAATAGCAGGGGAGCCCACGATGCAAAATGGGGATTTACTCGAGCGTCATTGAGACATTTGAGACATATTAGGTTGCAAAGCTTAGATGATAAGAAGAAAAAAATGTTATACAATATATACATTTTCATCGGTGCAGGAAGCGGCTATAGATGTTTGAATATGTAAAAAATACTGTTGCATGGACATCCTCGAGCACGTCAGATATTGATAGCATCAATGTTCTACGTATTTTCAATAATGTTGGTATGTTAATCTGATCGTTTGCATGATGTGGGTGGTTGTACGTAAGGGTTAAAAATGAAAAGAAAAAAAATTTATCAAGCGCGTCAGATTTTCTAAAGAGGTGTTAAGTGCACCAAAAAAAAGCTCTCATTCAACAATCTGACGATTTCGATTTGACGCAAACTCGCGGCCATTATTATAATGTGCAAAAAAAATTCGCCATTTTGAAATACTCAAGCGCGTCAGATTAAGATATATATGGTTCATCTTTATGTTTTAGACGTGCTGTCTCATAATCTGACGATTATCTAGAGGGATTCGCTTAATCTGACAAAAAAAATATTTTAATTTTTTTTTTATTCATTGAACTCAATTAATTGAAAAGCTCAGGAAATAGCATGCAAATAAATAAGTGTATGTTTTTTAAGTAGAATACTTGTATTTATAAGAAATTCATTTTTTTAAACGCTCAAAAAAATTAAATTAATTAATGAAGAAAAGAGAAATGTAACTTTCTATGTAGTAACTAACGTTACTGCAGTTTCGTCCTATATGCACATTTTCAAACTTATATATTGTATAAGTCCTTATATATTGTATAAGTTTGAAAATGTCCTTATAGGAAGAAACTGCAGTAACGTTGGTTACAAATAAAAGTGGTGAAAAACATTGAAATTTTAATTTCTCCTTTCTTCATTATGATTTCCTACCACGTAGTAATGGCTACATCCATCAATTAATCATCATCTTCATCACGAACGAGTCTCTGTGATCAGCTGTGATGGCGTCATGGCAACAAAATTCAGAGTGGGGACGGAGTCAGAGAGTAATAGATAGAGAAGAAGTGAATAAAGAATAGAGGAATAGAAACTCGGAGAGGGAAATATAGGTATCACACAGCTGCACGCATTATCGACGAATTTTTGTTATTTCGGCTTGCGGAAATCGTCAGATTATTTATTTTTCGTTATCCCTGAAGTATTTCCTTCAAAATAAAAAAAATTAGCTACGCTCGAGAATGTCGAATTGGCGTTATTTTTTTACAACTTTGCTGCCCTCCCCTTTCTTTACGACACTCTCAAATTGTCAGATTACTGGAATATACACTTTTTAGCAGGTAATTAACTCACCCTACCTTAATCTGACGCGCTCGAGAATTTCTGATGATCAATTTTTTTTTACTGATCCTTTATTCCTCACAGGCGGCCTTATATATGGGGCTCATTTTTGGTGGAGGTACTTAACCGGATACAAGGTATCCCCTGTTTATTAATCTGCCGCGCTTTAGTAAATCCCGAAATCCCCGCTGTGCTCCCCTATAAGTAATTTGTACGTTTTTCCTGCAATCCAAATATCTATATTCTTCTCGCCACACCCCATGCAGGAAAAATTATCTCAACTGCTAAAGAATACTTACAGAATACCTATTCAGAACCATATAATTATTTTTCACTAACTTTCTTGGGTTTTTTTTACGTCCAACAATCTGAAAAATATAAAAATTGCTATGGAGAACTTTATACAGGTGTACAAGGGCAAACTTTTTGGTACACCCCGTAAATTCAAAATATTTTTCACAAAAAAAAGGTTCTATTAATCATTAAAAAATCTTCACTGAAAATGACTTTCTTTCAACATATAACTATTATTATTTTTCATTTCCGTTAATCGGGTTCTTTTTTTGGTGTTTCTCAACTTATGTTTCTGGCTATTGTTCTTTTTAAAGACTTTATTCCGATTGTATCTGAACTTGCGTCACCAAAATTCATGTGGATCGAATAACTGAATATCTACAATACCATTTGTTGGATTGTTTTTATTTTCAATAAAAAATTAACAATGCGGCGTGCTTCATAAAAACCTTCCAGTACCAAATAAACCATTCAAATAATACTGGAGAATGAATTTCTTTTCGTTTAATTTCTATTGGGTTTTCAACAGAGCCAATAATTCCATTGTCTAGAGAATCATAGTATACAGTGCATTTCTTTAATGTCACCCCCCCTTTTATTTTTTAAACGGGTCAACTAAAAAAATTGAAATTTGGAATAATGAAATTAATACATGAATACTTAATTTTGAAGTGAAATTGACAGATGAAACTTTCAAAAGAGCGACTAGGAGCCTTCTGGGAAAAAAAATCAAATGGAAAGGGGGGTCTTGTGACACATATTTTTGAAGCTACTGACATATGCTTCACAACCCTAAAATATAATGTCAATATCTTCAACAACTACGAAATGGCGGAACTTAATAATTGCCTGAATACATTGACATTTAACTACATAATATGAGGTAATAAGCTTGAGGTCTCTACAAATATTCATTATTCTCTGCTGTATATCCAATATTGAAGCAGGTTCAGTTTCGTACACCTTTTGCTTCAAATAGCCCCAAAAAAAGTTCAAAGGTGTCAAATCTAGCGAGCGAGCTGGCCATTCTGTAGGATCTCGACAGCCAATTCCACGACCGGGAAAAATAGTATCCAAATAGTTTCTTACTTGTCTGGTGTAATGTGGTGGTGCTTCATCTTGTTGAAATACAATATCCATATCAAATTCATTAGGATTCGCTTCGACGATTTCATTGATGAGAGGGTCAACAGTAGTTTCCAGCATATTCAAATACAGTTCGCCTGTTGAATTTTGATCAATAAATAGAGGTCCTACAATATGGTTTCCCAATATTCCTGCTCAAACGTTAATTTTTTCTGGATATTGGATATGTGTTTCCCCGAAATCGTGAAGGTGGTGTCACTCCAATAACGGCAATTTTGTCTGTGAACATTGTCGTTAAAAAAAAGTGCATTCGTCACTCAAACAAATATTGTGGAGATAGATAGGATGTCTTGCAATGGTTTCCATCATGATTTCGCAGAATTCTGTTCTTCGATCAGGGTCATCCTCAGTTAATTGGTGTACCATTTTAATTTTGTATGGATGATACCTATTCCTTTTCAAGCGTCTCCACACAGTAGAAGGAGACACCTCATAAACATTCGCGACGGAATAAGTAGACTGTTCAGGATTTACTACCATCTCACCAATTATTTGTACTTGCTGTTCTTCCGGAATGGATGGATGACCTGGGGGCTTTTTGTTATGTACACTACCGGTAGTAGTGAATTTGGATACAAGTTCCCTCAAATATTTTCTACAGATAGGACGATTCGGGAAACGTTCATTGAAAATCCTTTCGGTCTCGTGAAAGTTACGCGTGGCACCGTAAATAAAAATCGCTTCAATTTTTTTTAGAGATTGCTGACGTGGTACCTTTCTACTAGTAAAACCAAAAACTAAATGGGAATATTCTAAGTGAACAATGATGTTCATTGTCGTACAGACATTTTTTGTCGTCTTAGTAAACAAAAAATAACTTAACAACCCACATCGGGTTGCTGGGATTGCCATATGGCAGATAAAAAGGAGCTTCAAAAAGATGTGCTACAAGACCCCCTTTCCATTTAATTTTTTTTTCCCAGATGGCGCCCAGTTGCCATCTTAAAAGTCTCATCTGTCAATTTCACTTCAAAATAAAGTATTCATGCATTCATTTTATTATCCCAAATTTCAGTTTTTTGAGTTGACCCGTTCAAAAAATAAAGGGGGGGGGGGACATTAAAGAAATGCACTGTATATTTTTTTGCTGCCTTGTTGGTATTATTTTCTACAGAGATCACTAAAAAGAAATCCTGTGAAAAATCTCCAACCTTGCTCAGGCACCACTGGAAGATAAGTCAATATATTGAATTTTTGGTTTTTCCCAATATGCCAGTGATTTGCATGAGTAAAAAAGGGGGAGTTCTGGAAAATTCCACTAAATGACGCGACATTACTAACTTAATAATACGCCCTGTAATCACTAACTTAATAATACGCCCTGTAATAGAATTCAAACATTGATTCAAAATCTCTTCGAAGAAAAGACATTCATGCGTAATTTTCTGGTTTTTCCTGCATCAGCTGAAAAAATGATTATCTGGTAAGTGGATATTAATCATGTCTCTCAAAATCTTGTCGTCTAACGATGAGGAAAAAACGCCCTGTCATCTTGAAAATAAAGCGATCTTCATGAAGCAGGTGACTCACAGTGGTGGCGGAATTCAATCCATGCTTGAATATAAACAGTGATTCTTCAATAGATGACAAATTGCTTGGTGAAGCGCGCGTCGAAAAGAGTATTGCAGTTCTGGTGATTGGAAAAAGTACTTGTTTTTGAATTTTTTCTACGCCAGTGGATCCAGTTTTACCTTTCAGTTGCCCCGATATACACTAAGCAATAATGTTTGAACATTTGAAAAAAATAGACGAAATTGGGCAATTATTAAGGAAAACGGGTATATTGTTACGGATATGTAGATACGGATATGTTTTGTAGATAATTAATCTGTAAACTCAATTTTCCTGAAGGTCCATCGCCGTATTTTCATAGTTTAACAAGTTATACGTGAGAAAAAGAAATATAAATATCAAATAAGTCTGTAATTTTTATAAACAAGTGCATATTATAATGATCAATCATAATTATGAATAGTTACAATTGCTGATTTTGAAGATCAATATATTCTGTATAAAAAAGATCTGAGTCTCCATCATCGTATCTTCAATTGTTTAAAAGTTACACCCGTTTGTTACATAAGAAATCACGTAGCTGCTGTCGTCCTATATCAAAAAGTATGGATTTTTTGTTTTCATTTTGTTGCATTTAGATGTTCTCAGAATCACATTTACTTTTAGAAAAAAATTATAAGAATAATCCTAATAATTTTCAAAAGAAAACTTTTTTCTTGATTAATTTAAAGAAATCATTATCAACAATTGAAAAAAAAGTATATATTTTTTTATCACAACAAAACGGCAAAATGTACTTCCCAACTATGAAATTTCCCTATTCGTTTATGAAAAATTTGTTAAAATTACGATTGCCATTATTTACTGTCATTTGTTAATGAACATTTTTAAAATCAAAACATAAAAAAATTACCCTCATTTCTTTGATATGTATTAGTTTTTTCACTAAAAAAAATACAATGAACAAAATAAAAAACATTTATAATTTTTTATCCCATAATCTTAAGTGTGCATACAAGAAGAACTCCACGAAGCGGAATTTTTTCAGGTTCATCATTTTAACTATTATTCAATTATATATCACAGCAGATATACGATAATAATTTTAACAAAAGCATAACTTCGTGAAACATAAGAATAATTTGTTTTCAACGGGAGCTTATTCTTCAAAATGTTTTCAATAAGCCACAATTTTCTCAAAAAAACCCCAAAAAGTATTGAAAACAATGGATTTTTTGTTTTCATTTTGTTGCATTTAGCTGTTCTTGGAATTACATTTACTTTCAAAAATTAGTTTATAGGTAAATTAAGATGAAGAAAATTATAAGAATAATCCTAAATTGTATACAACAAATTTTTTTGTTATTAAACAATCGAATTATGGATAATACACAAATAATGATTTTTAGAAGAAAACTTTTTTCTTGATTGATTTATAGTTTGTCATTTAAACAAACCATTATCAACAATTGAAAAAAATTAAGAAAAATTTTGTTACATTCCTTTTTACAACAGAATGACAAAATACACTTCTTTACTATGACATTTCTCTATTTGTTTATTAACAGAAAACCAGAATACCTCATTTTTTACTCGATCACTTTATTTATAACAATCGTAACTTTTTATCGATTGTAATATCCTCCGACTACATGTTACTGTGTGCATCTGTCCAGCTAAAATTTCCGCCTTATTGCTGAAAACTCCACGACAAATATCGTCTTTTGCTCTGGTGGTCGAGAAGGACTACATCAGGCTTATTAGCTTGTATGAGGCTGATGGTGGGGAACGAATAGTTCCAATAAATTCAGCACATATTATTATTAAATCTCGAACTAAATCCTGTGTGGGATCAAACTGAATGTTTTTTCAAAAATGTAACGGAATTCTGGCAGTTTCACGATCCTAAAATCAAGAAACAACCTTTTTAACTCTCCTTCTGAAAGTGTGAGTTGGATGGCAACTTTTGATCGGAATAAAGCGATCAACGAGATATACATCCACCTCGAGAACCAGTCCCTGCATAACCTTCGGGGACGACCTTAAGTGAAAGTTTCGAACAGAAGTTAATTACCTTTAGTCGGGTCGTTTGCATTATCGGGGAACAAGAGCATTCTTGTACTGCCGAGGTTTAACATTTTTGAAAGTTTTGTATAGGGACGATTACAAGCAAAGCGGAAGACTGACACTCATTTTTCAGTGAGCGCATTAATATTGTCAGCCAAATGGTTCGTTTTTACATCCTTCCTGTACGTGCATCCATCGAAGCATGAATATTAATGTCATGAATAATGGAGTGGAGTGAATAGGTATATAAATTATAAGAAGTACTAGACCGCAATGTTTTAGAGTATTACAAATCAATGAGTACCTACTTTTATAGAAGTAAACAACTATATCAGACTTCTACTTAGCCCGAAGGTCAACACAGTTAATTGAGGTGCTAAATTAAAGCCATACTCACCAATAATAATAGTATCCACTGCGTTTTGGACAGTAGCAGTAGTTTTATAAAAAACAGGAAAAAATACTATCGTCCCATTCTTCCACGGGTATTCACCATTATACTGACTACGCCGACACAAACAAACGTATGTAGATTCGCAGCAGGCGCTGAATCAACAACTACTTACTGGTAGTACCTGTCCAGTCACCGGTACTCGAATGACTCACCCAATAGACTCACTTTTTACTTTTTTAACCCCCACTGATCGCGGCTGAGTTTGGTGTGTTGTAACTTTACGAATGCGGGGCCGATTGAACCTTCAATCGCTATCGTTTTTTGTGGTGCCACTATCTGGGGAATGTGATTTGAATTTTATCGCGATTTTCTGATAAATTCGAACACTCCGATAAAGATTATGTTTGGCGTCGGAATTACGATATTTACTACGTTTAATTGGAGTTACTTGAATACTCGAGACGGTTTCACCAAATGAATATAATAATCTGGTCAATTTAGATATCCGAGGGTGTTCAAGTAAACGATATAGTGCGCCCTACCTTCCAGCAGTTCCCTTTTAATAAAATAGTTAGGGAGCTAATATGGCTCTTCTTTGGCACCCCGAAAAATAATCATAATACATTATTAATGCCCATAAACTGAAAATCCGAATCAGTTTAACAATGAAATGAAAAAACTAGATGAACTTTGCAACAACAAGAACGAATTTCTAGAGGTGTATTTATTTCTTTTGCTGGTAACAGGCCAATGCGGGTATTTTCTGGGCAAGGTTTGACATTGAAGTCTCGTATTCATCAAATTTATGAAATTTGAATCATGTTTCGTTCGAATCGACAGCGCGAAATATTGGAAAAATTAAAAAAATTTGGAAAAAAAGTCGAAGTCACAGTAGAGTCCAAATTTTGAGCAAGGGTATAAAATTGGAAATTAAGCAACTTTTTTCTTTGGCTCTTTTCGAAACTTCCAAAAAAAACTGATTTTATGAGGATTTTCGAGAAAAATATCAAATTTGACAGGTTTAGAGTAGCACATGAATAAAGGAAAGAGACTCTTTTTTACTCATTTTTCAAGCACAAACTAACTGCGAAGTCAAATTTCATTATTTCTATTAATAAAAAAAACTTCCATACGTCGCGAACTTTATTTGTGGCACTATGTAAAAGATTAGGAATCCAAAAAACTTCAAGAAACGTTGACTCCTCCACAAAAATAATAGGTATCTTTCAACGGGATTGAATTGTGCCAAAAAATGTTCTTAACTTTTTTACAAAACTTTTTCCTCTTACGGATTTTTTCAAAATGAAAACTGCTCGATAAGCGCGAGTAATCGGAACCTATGTTATATGAACTTCTTGGTTGACCTTGAATGACCCTCCCTATCAACCTTTGAGTTTAACCCATGACACTCTGTATATCTAATCACAAGTCTAAAGGTAAACCGAGTTTCAATGATGAAGTGAATAATCCTGCATGTCAATTCCAAGTTTCAACTCGCTCAGACTTGAAAATTGCGTGAGTTCTACTGGTGAATACAGTCAAACTTGAACCTCAAAAAAAAGCAAATGTTATTTGTTACGCGACAACTGGAACGAATTTGACATCAATAAAAAACAAACAACTTTTGTTACATAATTATGCACGTTTTTTCATGGTTATCGTATGAAACCCATTAAAAAATAATATCGATGAAAAACAGAATAATAATTATAGGTGCAAATTCATAAATAATCATGTTCACTATATAGTGGCGTCAAGGAATACTTAGAACAAACTTCGAAAGTCCTCAGTCCGATTCTGATTATTTTTTTCAATGTATTTTTTTTTTATAATGAGACAAACAAGGCCCACCCAACTTGATTTAATACGACCCATCGCTGTTTGTGAAGGTTGTGAAGGTTTGTGAGCACTTCGGTGCTCATCTTCGAGGATAAAATCTCCGGAACGGAATTTCGCAAACCATCATCAAACATTGCCAAATACCTGGTTGATTATTCGGGCTGTTTCAGCAGCGCTTTGGGTCAATTTGATTTCGTAGAGAAAAATTGGTTGTTTCTAGGTAGAATAATTGGAAGCACTTCTTTTTCTAGTTCTAAAATGAATTGCTTTTGTGTTCTTAACGAAATCACCTCAGATACGTTCCATATGAATTTATAAACTCAAATACTGTCATGAAGTGAATGGTGACCAATTTTTAGACATTTACCGGAATCAATTGAAGTGAGTTCAGAATACATTTTTTTTTTAAATTATAATGTTTACCGTTTGTCTGTGGCTCCTCAAAACCAATATAAAACTGTCAATTACTCAATAATGGCTGATCCGATCTTCGAAAATAAAAAAATCCATAATAGAGAATTGAAATACCTATTAAATGAGTTATCTATCACAATAGCCCCTTTTCTATTTTAAAAAAAAATATCGTTAGCGCCCTCTCTGCAACGAGTGATGCACTATTGTTTTTCTTATCAAAAAGTACTAAAAATAATACCACGATTCGTTTTAGATACGTTTTATTCACCTAATTCCAATTAAGTTAGGAGTTTGTGATTATTGAAAACTCCATTCATTAGAAAAAATTCCTAAATTTCCTACTAGGCTGAGAAGTTGCGAAATATATAGTAAAACAAAGGCTAATTGTCGGTCATATGAGAATTGTGAATAAACCTCCTAATTTCCAATTGGAACTTTGTTCTCCTTTTTCGATTTGAGTTTGGTTGGGCTAAAGCTTCGATAACTACGAAAAAACTGAAAAAAACACGATAATGTCAAAGTTTCTGTCATTTGCCATTTTTACGTCAACCGTCACCTATCTAAGCATGGAACTGAAAACTAAAAATCGAATCGTTTTAATTCAATCGAATGAATCGAATACAATGAATTATTCGATTTTCTGTATTCAATTCGTTCGTCAATAGGTTGTAGTTCTAGTTTCTAATGTTGATAATTTCCAAATGGCATTAAGGTTAAGAAATCCAAAAATTTCGGAGAATTGTTAATCAGAAAGTACTGCTGGCGGTTTTGTGGAAATAATTTTTTCAAAACTTTGAGATGTGTTTTATCTGAAAGTAGGAGAAAGCAACCAACATACTTTATCTGGTACCAATAATATATATCCACACAATGGCATTCAACTATGCAAACATCCATTCCAACAATACGAAACGTCATAATGCGGTACCTCCACCTTCTAGTGGTGTTAGTAAACAGGGCTACTCAACAATGAACGCAATCAGTCAGAATGCCCTCTCTGCAGCTTGGGGTGGTACAAGCAGGAAGAGAGCTGCTACGGAAGATGAGTAAGTCGAGAGTGGGCTGAAAGCAAAAGAGTCCCTAGCATCAACTGAGCATATTTCAGGTACTTTGATGATGATGAAGAAGAAGCCGTTCCCGACTTGGCTTACATCCCCGCTCCGGGAAGTCCGACTAGGATTGAAATGGAAAGGAAGAAGCAAATTGAAGAGGAAGAAGATGACCCACTGGATGCGTACATGGCAGGCATTGAAAGACAGGTAATCACTTTGTTTATTGGTGATATTGAGATAGTTTCTTTGCAAAATATTTGTTCAAAAGTATATGCTTTTATTTGCAGTTAGCTCTTTTACCTAATATGAGCTATGATTATAAACACGTTCACTGCCCCATTAATGTCAAGAGCGCTCCAGCAAAAAATTGTAGTGCCATAGACTGAGATACAAATTGTCTTATGCACCAACACAGTCCATAAGACCAACATCAGTTTTATAGCCTTGTACACTGCAAGTCTTTTTTAAGTATAAGTACAGAAAAAGACTGAGGCTAGAGTGTATGAAAAATTTACACCACAGACTTGAGACATTACTCATTTATTTGATAACTATATATGGTTGATCTACCATCTAGAATCTCCTTTTGACAATGGCTGCTCATACGGTTGCTGGGAACAAATATTTAATGTTTTGAAATTTGAATTGAAGTCAGACAATCTTCCAGATGGAGAAACAAACGCAAGCACCGCAGCAATCAGGAGTACGTAATGACTTGGAAGAAGAGGACGTAGAGGAGTCCTACTACCGATACATGGAAGAAAACCCCAATGCAGGACTTCTTCCAGTAGACGAAGAATTCCCCGATCTGGAATACGACTCAGATGGCAATCCCATAGCACCAGATAAAAAGAAAATCATCGATCCTCTCCCTCCTATCGATCATTCAGAAATAACTTACGAACCATTCGCGAAAGTGTTTTACGAGGAACATCCCGAAATTAAAGCGTTGGCGGTTGATCAAGTGACTGAATTGAGGAAAATTATAGACATTACGGTATCGGGTAATTCACCGCCCAAACCTGTATCTTCTTTTGCTCATTTTGGGTTTGACGATAAGCTGCTAAAGGCAATCATCAAAGCGGAGTATAGTTCCCCAACACCGATCCAAGCGCAGGCCATTCCTTGTGCTCTCATGGGCAGGGATGTGCTGGGAATTGCACAAACAGGTACGATAATAATTCTTTATTTTACTTTCATATTTGTTTATCAACGGATTCAAGAAACACCTTTGTCAATGTGTATATTCATTTATAAACACAGAATCTCAGAAATTTATGTTGGACTCTTTCCAATGTGACACAGTGATTTGTATAAAATGGTGACCAAATGATTGAGCCACATTCTGAGAGTGAGACTATTGAGGCAAGATACACCTTTCTCACCAAAATAATTGATAATAATTGTTTGCAGTTTCGAACTTAAAGCCCAATAGCTTTGTTGTATTGACAGCTTTATGATTTATGTGACCTACAAATGGTAATGGCTCGTCAAAGATGACTTGTAGATCCTTCATTTTTTTTTATTAGGTATATTGTATATTATATTTAATAATAACACAGCTGAATACGAGCTTTCTATTAATACCTCATAGTTTCGTTGGTGAAGTGAAAATATAGTACTACCTATTCCAGTTAAGCCCAAGTATATTGCGAGCTGTAATAAACACAGACTGTACTGTTTCCTTGGCAGATTGAATAGTGACCTCGTTTTTGCACAATAAATCATGTAACTGCACTGCTTCTGCTAGATGGCGGTTCAAAAAAGTCCATTTGCTTAGGAATTCATCTGACTTATCCCGAATCATGTACAGTTCTGTAGCTTTGTAAACTCCAGCAATTCCTATCCTTTGTTTGAAGGTGATTGACAATGTTTCGTGATGAATTTCACTAGTTCGGACTTCCATTGTCTATTATATAAAATGATTTGAAATCCCTGAAACAAGTAAAAAAGAATGATTAAAAAAGAATAGTTGAAAATAACAATTATATTAAGCAACAATATTGACATAATTGCTATAGCTTGTGGCCATTTGCTAATATAGGGTTGTATCATTTTCAAGCGGGCCTGAATGGCTTTCTCTGCAAACTCTCCTGGTAGTATAGGATTTTCTTTACATTCCTCCTGAATCTTTTTCAAGATGTCTACTAATTTTGAATTTGAACTAGTTTGAAAATAGTGTACTAGATCTGCTCCACCTCTGGTAAACATTCCGTGGCTGATTGCGGGGTAACCAATACATTCGGCACCATTGCTTATAGCTTCTTTGGACCATTCTAGCTCAGGTACAAAAGGAAGAGATGATGCTAATATTTTATTTCTAATTCCATCTTCATATGTTGGTTCATTACATTCTTTGATGCTGGAGGAATCTGTAGAGCTCAAACGAGTTACTTGCCATACTATTAGCTTGGAGTTACTTCGCAAATTGAATCTTCTCAACATTATTGAAGCGGCAAAAGCTATTAATACCATGTATACCTGGTTCTATGACGAAATTACTGAAGTTTAAAATTTATTACATTTTATATCTCACAATCAGTAGGCAATAATAGCCATCTTCCTCTTGAAGATGATCACTTGGTGATCGAAACACGTGTCGAGGTGTAAAAATAACGATTTGGTATTGGGAAAAAACTCCAGAAATATTCAATAGCCATATAGCCAATTGAAGTGACACATGTTAGTGGATTACCACTCATGGAGTATGATTAGGTTAGGTTAGGTCATAAGGCAGTGGGTCCATTCAACCCCCACCGCTACCTGCAAGAGTTTATTGTGGGTCATATGGTCCAAGCTTTTTAAATCATGTTGTAACATCGTCTAATGATTTTATTGGTCTGAAAATTTCAAGACCATCTGCAAACATTAGAAAATTCTAATTTTCAAAACATTCTGTAATGTCATCAACAAAGTTGTTGAACAGGAGAGGTGTACAGTAAGACCCTTGAGTTACTTCAGACGCTATATGAATGATAGTTAATCCTAGCACTTCCTACCCCAACTTGCTGAGATCGTCCAGTCAAGAAGCTTTAAATCCATGATAGAGACAGATCTGTGAAACCAAATAATATCATGTCTTGAAATAATATGTTGTGATCCAAAGGATCAAATGCCTTGGAGAAATCTGTATAGACTGCTTCCAGTTGGCTTTTTTTCTCCAGAACCTTCATAATATTTTGCTCAAACACCAATAGATCAGTAACTGTAGGTGGACTTTTTCATATTAAATCCATGTTGATTTTTTATAAAATGTTCTTTACAATAAAATGTCAACTGACCAGTTGTCAAGCTATCCAGTAGTTTAGGTAGGGAAGCCTGTTATTTGTGTTATTTATGTTTATAGGTAGTGGTAAAACTGCAGCATTTCTATGGCCGATGATAAAACATATAGCAGCTCAAAAGCCAGTTGAAGAAGGAGAAGGTCCAATCGGTCTAATTTTGGCTCCTACTAGAGAATTGGCAATCCAGATATATACAGAGGCTAAGAAATTTGCAAAAGTGTATGATTTGAAAGTTATTTGTGCTTATGGAGGAGGATCAAAATGGGAACAAAGTTTGGTGAGTATAATATTTTATTTTATCCAAACAAAAGGAAAAATTGAATATTAATATAAATGCAACATTTCTAACTTAGTGAGCGGGGTACAGACTTGATCATTATGATGAGCAACAGACAGAACAACGTTCTGACCCTCATTATCGTCAACACTCTGTATACCAGAAATTCATATTAAGTACAGTAGTGGAAAATAAGATATCTACAAAATTCCTGTGAATTAATATCGATGAGTGTCTGAAATTTGAGGAGCATATAGGCATTATAAATAAGAAACTTTCCTCCGGGTGTTTTGCATTCAGAACAGAATCAAAGGAACTAGGATTTCACCCAGCAGAAAATGTTTATTATGCCCTCATAGACTCTCACTTAAGGTATGATATAGCATTTTGGGGTGTATGCAGTAAACAGCTGTTCAATCTGTTTTCATATTACAAAAACGTGCGATACGGGATCTCTGTGGAGCAAAATGGAATGATCCTTGTAAGCCACTGTGTTTGATGCATGAAATTTTAACTGTGACTTCATTGTTTATTCTTGAATCAACATGCCTTATACACAAGAATGAATTATTAAAGAATGATTAAATTTCATGTTATTCACATGTGTTAAAAACACTTTGAAATTTTCAAACAATTTAGATTGATTTTATTGATTTTCATGTCTTTGTAGGCTCTGAAAGAAGGAGGCGAAATAGTCGTAGCAACACCCGGAAGAATAATCGACCACATTAAAGGCGGAGCTACGAATCTACAGAAAGTCACATTCCTTGTTCTTGATGAGGCAGACAGAATGTTCGAACTCGGTTTTGAACCGCAAGTTCGATCTGTTTGTAATCACGTTCGTCCAGATAGGCAGACACTCTTGTTTTCAGCGACATTCAGAAAAAGGTACCGTTTCACGATTAATTTCAATGGTTCAGTCTAAATATATTGTTATGTTTCAGGATTGAGAAGTTAGCGAAGGATGCTCTAACAGATCCCATCAAAATCTCTCAGGGAACCACAGGACAAGCCAACGAGGACGTTACTCAACATGTGCTGTTATTGCCTAGTCAGGAGTACAAAAGGATTTGGCTATTCAAGAAGCTTGTCGAGCTTTTGTCTGCTGGCTCAGTGTTAGTGTTTGTTACTAAAAAATTGGACGCTGAAATGGTGAGTTCAGATTTTTACAAGCGTTTATTTAACTTCCGATGTTTGAATGCATGTTTGTTGCGGTTAAATCTAGCAACTAAATTTTGAAGCAGTCAGCCTCAACTGGTTGAAATGAAACTTTGCATAAACGTCCAGTTGAGATGACAATGCATGGTTAAACAATTATATTTTTATAATCTTTTGATTTATATGAACAAAAATGAAAACACATGTCGAGGTTTTAAAATAACTGTTTGGTGTTGGGAAAAAACTTCAGTAATATTGATTACTACACCAAAGGTTCCAAACAACGCATCACAAATAATATTGTTTATTAAAAAATGCTACAATTATTTGTAAAAAAAACAATTACATGTAATAAAATGACGGGTGTAATTATTTTTATGACTTCCTTACTACTTTTGTAATATTTCTAAATATTTCAAATAAGTTTTATCAACTCCTCCCTATGATAATGATGATAATTTCTAAATCATCAAGCAAGTTTTCCCATTAACCAGCTGTTGTCTCTCCGTGTTACCTTTCAGTAAGCGATTCCTAGCAACTTCATTACTGTTATTAATAAAATAATTTTTGTTTTGCAATTAGCTAGATTTTTATGTTTTTACCAGTTAATAATAAAAAAATAGATAGATAGATAGATCTTTATTTAAAAATAGGTAACCCTAATATACATATATATCCCAATTAAATCAACGGTGTATATATACAACATTAGACAAACACAAAAAAAAGAAATACAATGCAACAATAATATACGAAAATCACAATTTTAAAAATAGAATTAATAGAATTAGTAGAATTACAAAAATTACAAGAATTGCTTTCAGTACGATATCTATTTCATCTTAATAAGTTCTTTCTTTGTTTTTTAAACAAATACAACGATGATGATGTTTTAATGAAGTCTGGTAGTTTATTAAATTCTTGGAAACCTTTGAAAAATAAAGAGCTCATAGTACTGCGATAAGCAGTGCTGCTAATGTGAATGTCATTTTTACCCCGAGTGTTATAAGTGTGAATGTCTCTATTCAATATTATAAATGTATGAAAGTAAACAGGAGCCAGGTTATTCAATATTTTATATACAAAAATCATTGTGAAATAATACAATCTTTTTTCGACTGAGAACCAATTAAGCGTTGCTAACATAGATCTTATGGGGGTGAGACGATTAGTTCTCAGAATTATTCTCATGCCACGATTTTGAAGTTTTTGTAGCATATTCAGCTTAGTAAGATCAAACAAAAACAGGGCTGATGAGCAATAATCAAAATGCAGCTGAATAATTGAGTTATATACCGTGATTTTTGTTTCGGTTGATAATTCCTGGGCTATACGAGAGAAAAAATAAAGTTTTTTTGAAATTTTTTTATGAATATAATTGAAATGGGTATTGAAGTTCAGAAAGTTATCCAACTGGAAGCCCAAATACTTGATATTCGATACAATTTTAATTTGTTCATTATTGATGTTTAGGTTAAGGCTATTAATATTAATGGTATCATATCTGTATTTACTTGTGAATATCATAGCCTGACTTTTAGACACATTCAATTTCAATTTATTCAAACTCAAATACTTGCTAATTGATTGTAAAACATTATTCATTTTTTGAATAGCCTTATCTAGGCAGACGTCACTACAAGCAATTAAGGTATCATCAGCAAAGAGGTTAATGAATTCGCATTCCACAAAGAGGTTAATATCATTAATGTATAATAGAAACAATAATGGGCCCAAACCACTTCCCTGCGTTACTGAAGGTTCCTACTACAAAAAAAAATCATTTCAGGTAGCAAAAGATATCAAGTTGAAAGAATTTGACTGTCTATTATTACATGGAGACATGGAGCAGGCGGATCGTAATAAAGTAATAACAGCCTTCAAGAAAAAGGAGTGTTCTCTATTGGTAAGCATCTTCTACAAACTTTTGTTTAATTATAACCAGTATTGTCCTAAGAACCAAACCTTGTGATACTCCTTCACAAAAAACTTCTCTCTCTTCTTGGATTTCCTATATCGAGCATGTTTAGGTGGCTACCGATGTTGCTGCCCGCGGTTTGGACATCCCTCACGTCAGAACAGTTGTTAATTATGATATAGCGAGAGATATCGATACTCACACCCACAGAATCGGTAGGACTGGAAGGGCTGGCACCCAGGGTACTGCTTATACGTTACTCACTGTCAAAGATAAGGAGTTTGCCGGTCACATCGTAAGGAATTTGGAGGCTGCTCATCAAGAAGTGCCACAGGACGTTTTGGATTTGGCGCTGCAGAGTTCTTGGTTCAAAAAACAAAGGTATTCACTAACTTATGTATTTGGTAGTGATAACTCTTTATTCATACATATTACATAATAACATTGGTTAGGATTTAAAAAACTAAGGATGATTTCATTCAATTTTCATTTTGATCTGTATAACTTTAATTTATTCTATAATTGATATTCATCAGTTTTTTTATGTCATTTGAAATATATTTTCCCAACCAAAATTAAAGAGTCAGATTGTGACCTTTCCTCCTCAGCAAAGGATTTCATTGACATATTTTAAAGGAATATTTTTTTAACGTAGTCCAAAAACACTTTATTGTGAGATTTTCACTAAATTGTTTTACAAAAACGCAACATGTGTTTCGCCATACAATGGCTTCATCTGGCGTGTCTTTCAACTAATTCTACACATTCAATACTAAATATATATATAGTTTATGGAGTACCTGAAATCAAAGTACCTGTAAACGAAGTACCTGAGTTTTAAGTAGCTGATATTTTACCTGAGTTTCTAACGACTTAAATTACCTGCACTTATGTTCCATTTTCACATTTGAAAAAATATATTCAGTAACGGAGAATTAGTGAGTTCTAATTGATCATTCAGTAAATTACCCGAATTCCTGAATCTATTGATTTCTAAACATTCTAGAAGATTAAGTTTCAAACTCTTCTCTTCTAAATGTAACACCTCGTACTCATGATCGAACTCATGTCCTTCTGCTAAAAGATGGTTTGCAAATGTGGAATTGGTCTTTCTATTTTCAAAACTACTCCTATGTTCTTTAATTCGTTGGAAAAATGTTCTTCCTGTTTGGCCAATATACAGTTTTGGACAAGAGCCACAAGTCAGCTTATATACTCCTGATCTATCCGACACCAAAGTTTTGTCCTTATTGTTTTTAATAAATTTACTTAGGTTATTATTCGTTCTATAAACTACGTTTACGCCTTCTTTCTTCAAAAAAACGGGCAATATTCCTGTTTGGTTCCCCCACATATGTCAATGTCTTATAACTAACGTTATCGCATCTTGAATATGGGTAGACCAGATCCATGGCTTGCTTTTGTCGTTTTTTGGAAAGAATGGAGCTTACAATATCTACCTTATAACCGTTATTAATCGCGATTTGTTTGATCAAATTCAGCTCTTTCTGGAAATCCCTATCAGACAGTGGAATATTCAATAATCTGTGAAGCATACTATTGAATGCAGCAACTTTATGCTGGTACGGGTGTGTGGAGGAATTATGTATGATAATGTCCGTGTACGATGGTTTGTGGAAAATTGCAAACTCATGTTTATTGTTATTTTTCGTAATGGTTAAGTCCAGGTAATTTATTGAATTATTTACCTCCCTCTCAGCGGTGAATTTTATTGACGGGTGGATGGAATTGGCATATTCAATGAACTTGCCTAATTGCCTATCTGTACCAGTAAAACATACTAAGATATCATCTACGTATCTGTACCAGTACAAAAAATTGTTGGCTAACTGATTATTATGGATTTCATACTCTATGTTATCCATGAAAATTTCCGCCAGTAAGGGACTCGAAGGATTCCCCATTATTAGTCTTTCATTGCATGAAAAGAATTCTCGGTCAAACTGGAAATAATATTGAGACACACAAATGGTGAGTAAATCAACAATCTCCTGTTTTATCAGTGGACTCACGTGGTTTTTGTCTTAAGAGACACTCCACTAGTTCAATTGTTTCAGTTGGCGGGATACTGGGAAATAAATTTTGGACATCGAACGATATTAATTTTGAGTTATCTGGGAGGATTACGTCTTTAATATTATCCACTAATTGATAAGAATTATTTATACTAAATTTAGGCTTGAAATTGGTATTTTTTTCTACAGGTACCGAAAGAAAGATCAAAATCCCAATGTGGGAGGATTGGGACTTGGATTCAAAGAGAAGGCATCCGTGCCTTCAAATTCATCAGGTTCCGCACCATCTCAAAAATCCCAGGTTTCTAGAGGACCAGCGACTGACAGATTATCAGCGATGAAAGAAGCGTTTAAGACTCAGTATCAGAATCAGGTAGGTTTGGTTTATCTGCTATGATAGAAGATCTGGAATCTACGTATATAATAATAACACTGAAAAGTTTTGAATTCATTGAAACTATTCCCCAAACTCAGACTGAAAGCGAATGAATGTGATGTATTCCTCCTTGAACATCTAAGTTGGACAATATTCGCCGTGGAGTTTTCAGCTTTGGGTGAGATGAATATCATCCGAAAAGAGGAGATAAAAGAGATGAAATATCAACATTTCCTCTTCAAACTTTACTCATACCACTCTGAAGTTCATTTGAAGAGTATTTGAAACGTTTGTCATGAGTAATATCAAAAATCCATTATTTAAGAATGCCTAAATTCCCTGTTCTGACTGCACGAGTCAGTAGTATAATATTTCAAGGTCATAACTACTTCAAATTTTCTCTAAGAATTTAAATCAATCATAGTGCCTAAATATCTGATGTCAATATCAATTTAAAAGGGTCCTACATTCGGCAAGTATTTTTGTATGAAGTGGAGATCATTGATTAATATTTATTTTTTACAAAATTTTCACTGTAATAATGAGTTTATACATTAGTGTCAAACCTTGTTTCAATATTTTCCATATCTCTGTCAAGTATTTGTTCCAAATCAAACCAACTTTCAGTTTAATCTACGAATCAGTGAAATCAACCTTCACTTTCGATATTTAAGATTGTTAATATATATTTCGAATAGTTGTGGTCCTAAAACTGTACCCTGTAGGACTCCATGTTCGAATATTTTTGGTTTACTCAAATTTTCACCTATTTTAACATAAAGTAAAAAGATTTGTCAATTTTCATAACCCCAAATCTATTTCCATTCAATGAAAATAATAGTGTAGTTTATATTTTTATCTACTTTTCAGTTTACTGCTAGTTCAGACCAACCTCCCCCACCGGTTTCAAGGAAGAAAACAAGGTGGGAGTAGATTTTCCGTATTTAATTCCTAAATTACTGGTAGGTTCTAAAAATTACTAAAAGAGTATGGATTTAGATGTTTCTGTTGTTATTGTTGTTGTTTCCGGCTGATTTGAAGCTGGTTTTTTTCAGTCTTGTATATCCATTGAGTTTTTTTATTGAATCCTCATCAAATAAAATTGTCAGCGAGATTTTTTTTTGTTTTTTATCAATTGGAAAGTTTGTCACTGTAAGAAATGTAATTATACATTCAATAGAATTTATTCACAGTAAAGCAGATTTGTTTTATTTTCCAATTTATTATCAACTGAAGTTAGAGCAGGTATCACAAAATTGCATAAAAAATTCATCTACAGGGTGAGAAGAGGATCTTTGCATTGGTGTAAAATCAGACCACAATGACGAATGCTCGACTATACAGTGTATTATCTGAAACTTGGATTTTTGATAGAAATCCTAAGGGTTCCTTGTTGTTGGTGAGCTCATCATTTTCGTCCTGCGTAGTGGTGTCCGACGTGGTGCCTGACTCCCCACTTGAAATTTGCGTTTTTGTCAGTCTTAACGAATGTATGAACTGGTCCTGTTACACCATGTCCTCCGTGGTCCCGTCTGTTTCGAAGGTTCTCGCTTTGACCTGGAGAAGTGAGAATAATAAGCGGAAGTGGTTTTATTTTTTTCAACAACTAATTACAAGACTTTTTCATAGTAACTTGAACATTCTGAGTGATCCGAGCTGTAATAATTGTAATCAATATTTTAAATATTTCACTCATTTTTATTTAAGCGAATTAGTTGAATTTTCTTTTCTATATCGTTTTTTTCCCTAATATAAACATTGAATGTTTCTTGGAAAATAAATTGATATTATTATCATTTGTTTGCAAATCCAAACTTTCAGAAGCAATTTAAATAACTTATATTATTGGAATAACAAAAATGTATATCAACTTTTCAATAAATCACAATTCAAAACTGAATCTATAACACTAAAGATGTCATCATCTGTAGTGAAAACTATTCTTAAAATTATTTAAATCCAGTTTTTGTCCAATTTGAATATAATTTTAAAAATTACTCTTGAACATAAATAAATTAGTACGTGAGCTGTTCAAAAAATTAGGTGAATATTCAAATTTCGCGGGCGATGTACTGTTACAGTTTCATTTTGCCATTTATTCTGTTTCAAGGTCGACGATTATTCAAACCTGAAATGAATACTTTCATGAAGGTTTTGGTGGTGTAGTACTTCGTCATTTACTTGCAAACAACTATACAATGATAATCGAACACGTTCATTATATTCGAACGCACCCCCCTAAGGATTCTGTGTATTTTGTGAACTGTGGATTGACCACTTTTGTTCCATGAATGGCTTGCCGCGGAGATTCAATTTTTTGTGGTACTTTCAGAAGCCATTTGGTAATTTTGGGATTTATGTCTAAACTACTCGATTTTTCAGATTAACATAGCATGTAATAACAGAAATTTGTTTTATTCTTGGCATTTGGATGCTGGTAAAATATTCAACTCACTTGTTGGATTCAATTTCTTATTGATAAGGGAATCTTACTGATTTGAATCTTGTCTTCTTGGTGCAAAAGTAAACCTATAGGCCACAGGACATAAAAGGCGAGTTAGTATTTATGAAGGAGACACAAATTTCTTAGGAGATATACTTCTTTCCACAAGTCCATGTTTTTATTCATATTTTTCGTTAGAAACTATATATTTCAAACTAAAATGTCAGTTCAATGAATTTGACACCTGTAAAGTTACGAACTCATAACTAACTATCTCTAAAATTAGTGACTTCACCTTCTTTTCTGTACTTTTTTTTTCATGAAAATTTTTTTTTCCGACAGCTCTTTTCTGGTAGGGGATAAAAATTTGGGCTAGTACGACTCGAATTCTTCTTCGAATATTACAAATTCGAATGGGCTTAACTTGATTCAGTTGTTATTGGACACGATTTTCAGAAAATAAATGATAGATTTAAGAAATAAATTATCTTATACTCCACTTTATAAGCCAAGTGAATGTTCTAATAACATCAACTGCGTTGGTATGTAATTGGCAAAGAAGTTGAAATGAAATATGAAGTGGGTGCATAAAGTGAAAAGCAGGCAGATTAGTCGGTATCCGAATAATTTTTTTAGTGAAGCAGTTGTACCAACGTGAATTTTCAACCTCAAATTTATCAACTGAACCAGAGGTTCCCAATCTGTTTCGATTTGCAGATCCTTAAATAATCGGAGTTTTTTTCGCGGCGAGCTTAATACGTCATTTTTTTTTTAATTTTCGACTTTCCTGAAATCATCTCTGACAAAAAAAGGGTAAATTGTGCGGATAAAGCTATAAAGTAAGGTGGAATGTGTAAATATGACGTCGTTAGTAAAATCGTGAGTGTCCCGACTGGTTTTTTGGTGTGAAGAAGGTGGAATATGACCTTGATCTTTGGAGAGGTAGCATAATTTCCGAACAAAGGGAGACTATCGTGTTTTTTTCGGAATCGTCCACATGTACCAACAATAATTATTTCTATATCTTTCGATGTGAAAACAAAAAATGGGTTTTCTTGGATGAATAACCATTATTTTTTCTTACCATCAATGTCCACTGGTGCACCTAAGGAAACCATGATGGTCACAGCAAACAAAATAAAGTGGACCTAAAAAAATACAAAGGCTCTGGATGAAAAACACAAAATTATTCTTTGAAAAAATACGTTTCAAGCATTACCAAATAACAATTCGACACAAAGACCTTTTTTAATAATTACATTATTTATATATTTTACTGAGAATGTGCAATGGTACAAAAATGTAATAAACTTCTTTGAGAGCGTAGTTGTAGATTCTTAATAAAATAATATTTTCTACTTGAAATCTGAAAAATCTGTACTCACAATAAATTCAAAGAACTTCATTTTATAGGGAAATGGTGCACTCGCTATGGAATTCGAACACTGCAAACAATCTGTCGAGTTATTCAGTTTTATACCAACTAAAAGACAAAAAATGCTTTCTTTTGTTCGAAATAAATTGCTCTCAGAGAAAGTGTTTCCTTCCTCACCACACTTCGTGGTATAAATAACTGATTAAGTGCTTCAGTGAACACAGATTGAAAAAATCATATTTGAAAATGGTCAGTGTAATTACAGAGAATCAATTCAATAATTTTTTTCACTACTTCCTGAACCATATCATAAAAACTACGAAAAATTAGTCATGACAAAAAAAATGAATGAAGATTTTTCAGGAATGCCATTTTGTACCTATTATGTGAAACTGTCACTAACTAACGAATTAACGGAATATTTGATCCTAATGGCACCAATAAAATATAATGTCAAACAAAACGACATTTTTCATTATACAAAGAAACATAAAATGTGAGAATAAAATATGAATAGGTGCACGGAAATGAAGAACATGTCAAGGCGGAAATTCAAACGTTTTTCAATTTTAAAATGGACTGCAAAGAGTTTTTTGAATTTGTCTATTCTAGACCAGATATTTTAAAATCTGTTCGTTCAAATGTAAAATATAAGTTCAAAATAAAATAAAAAGTTATGATAATCAATGTTTTTTTTTCTCCCGGATTTAGACAGCTAAGAGGTGGTAACCCTACTTACTCGTCGAAATCAAGAACATAAAATCCCTTATTAAATTTTTTAAAAAGTGGTAACATACCTATTATAATCTTGAAGAATACTTTGAAGATTCCTTCTGTTACATTCACTATTTTAATCTGTTCATTTTGTTATCAAGATTTTTATACAGCTTTAGACTTAAATACACGCCTGAAGAAGCTGCCAATATATATAGCGAACCACATGTTGCATTTTTGTAAAACTGTTTAGTGAAAATCTCACAATAAACTTTCTATACACTATACTTGAAGTGGTCAACGTTTCAGAAAACAATCTTTTTCCGTTTTTAGAACCCAAAATCCGCTTGAAAACTTTCGATTCAATTATGAAAAGCTGTATTTCTATATACCGAAAGTATGATGGACAATAAAAAACCATTGTTAGTCAAAACATTGTATACAAATTGATAATGGAACCCTCAAAACAATAAATACATCACAGTCCTGAAAATGGTTTATTATAACTTGAAAGTACAAAAAAACAGAAGATATTGAATTGTGTCTGACGTTTATTTTCCGGCAGGCCATCACCAAAACCTACGGTGTAGGTACATATGCCTCTCTTCTCGATACGATCTCCAGACTTATTTTGTATTGAAATATTATTCTGTTTTTTGTACTTTCAATTTATAATAAACCATTTTCAGGATTGTTTTCTATCATACTTTTGGCATATAGAACTTTTATATTTTTGAGAAGCGTATATATTTATTTCAATGAAATGGAACATCTATACCATCCCCTCCTATGATGAGAATTTGCAAACACCATTGTCTTGTTAATTACGAAACACACAGAACTATGAGATACTTTTGGGAAATTGTGTACACTTGTTTATTTTTACAAGGTGTTCTCAACTCATTGAATAGATAACTGTTTTAAAGTCTCTTAAAATTTCCATCTCAGGGTTTCAGAAAATCAAAGCAATAATAATAATAACTTTTATTAGCAAAATAACAATAAAAATATATAAAATACATAAAAACAACTTGATATTCTCCATTAGGCACAAGTGTCTAAAAATAATAATAATAATGGTGGTAAAGCAAGGCATAGTATTTAGTAATATTCAGATTGAGAAAACGGAATGTGATCTATTTGTTCAAGATACTTGAGAAAGTCATTTTTGTATACCATCAGATCAGGTTCCGGTTTTTTCAGTAAAAAAATAAATTATACTTATATACTGACATCAATTTGAGATTATTTTCAGAAATGAAGTCTTTCATATTTCATTCACAACAAGAACCAAATTGCTAAATGGTTAGAATAAAGTTCGAACAATTTAACAATGAACATTACTTCAATGACAAATAACGGGGAAAACTCAGTAGTTCTATATAGATAGTGAAAAAGGAATTTTGATAATTCACATAAATGTGCAATTTTTCTTTTGCATATTATCGAAAATCGGTAATATTTAATTTAGTAGGGGATCATTTTTCAGGAGAGTTTTTGAAAAAAAATTTTTGTCTTTCTGTTAATATTTGAGTATGGTCACTGATACAGATGTACTTTTTCGGAAAAAAATATTTTCTTATTTTATATATCTCCTCCAATATGTACAGAAAAGAAAAATTCCATATCGACAACAGAAACAAAAAAAATCAGAAAATCTCTCCTAGAAATAATTTCCTTTCAGTGGTAGTTTTTCAAAAATTTTGCAGTTTTTTTTCAACTTGAACGATAAATTTAAGCGACGGCTAATAAATGTCACAGATTTTGCATGGACCATAAACCACCATTTCAATAAAATAAATAACTGAATACATTCCTGAATGATTACAAATTATTCCATATTTATTTTGTGGTATTATTGAAATGTGAGTATAACTATTTTTCTACCTAACCTATAATTTGATTTTGTAGTACTTAAAATTGGTTTAAATAATTCAAATCATGTCTTTTATGATATCGATAAAATTATACCTAGTTCTACCAGTATTATATCCAAACACAATACAGCCCTCATGACAAATTACAAACATTTCTGGAATCTCTGCTAGGTGCTGTGGTTGCGCCAGATTCTGCTGCTTGCAACTGTCTTGCCAAGGCCAAATCCAATTCCTCTTGCCGTTTCTTGCTATTCACACCAGAATCCTGGAGAGAGAGTGCAAGAGCTCTCGCTAGAGCTTCGTCTTCACTCAGGTTTCCTTGAACTTTTTCAGAAGTTGAACCTCTAGGTAATGCATCGAAAATCCACCGTCCCGTGGGTTTACCAGCACAGTTGTGGTCCACTGTATGTCTGTGTTTGATGCAGAAGTTCATGTGGCACTGGTCACACACTACCGGAAGCAGTTCCCTGTTTTTGCACTTCTTGAAGGTGCATCTATTGGTAAATACTTTCCGTCTGGATTTGGCGGGGTCTGACTGGCAGTCACTATCTATGTGGGCTCCGACAACGAAGTCTGGGAGCTCACCCTTCTTAACAGGAATGGGTTTGCTACACAAAGGACAAACTGGAACCTGGTTGTTCTTTTTGTAGGAATTTGCACAGTTGTGGTTATTGTAACTATAATGTTCTTCACAGAATAACGAACTGCAGGCGTCGCACTTTATAGGCAGAAAGTCTAGCTTGTTACAATCCGATCTGGAGCAGTGTTGTCCTAGATGTGGTAATTCCATGATGAAACAACAAAAACAACTTTGAGAACCTTCCAACGTTGGTTAAAACTGGACACAACTAATTGAAGTGGAATGGGAGTCTTTTATATATTAGATTCTGATGAAAGATGATGAAATAATGTTTCGAGAATGTAGAATGTACTAGAATTTATAAACATGATTTTCAATTTTCATATAAAATGATGATTCACTGGATGGCAATGTTGCCAATAAGTAAAAACTAAAAGACATCAAACACTACATACCAACACTATTTTGCTTTAAAAAAGGATGCATTTTATGTTACAATGGTGGCTACACTTGGGTAATTTATACTGAACTGTCAAATATGTTATAAATATTTATGTATTTTCATTTATCATAACGTTCAGCAGTAACCGTATTAATAAAGCTATATAAAAGTATAAATGTATTTTTTTAAATAGCATTGAATTTTTGACAGTCACCATTAAAATAGGGTACCCAATCATACAACACCATATGCCTCCTTTTTGTCAGATGAAATACTATCTATTGGTCGAACTACTTAGTGAAAGAATCTAGTCAATCTTGAAATAAAATAGGAAACAAGCATATGTATGAAGTCTCTGGTAGTCAAAAATGAGAATCCTAGGGTTCGCATATAGAAGGATCACGGTTATATACGAACCCTTTGTGCTTTCCATCGATTATTTTTATTATTGATTGGAAGATAGAAGTTTGAAGTATTTTTTTTATTTATTGAAAACACATTAGGACGAGAGGATTATTGATGATTATAATAGACTATTTCCGAATGCATGAAAGACATATACGAGTGGCGCTGGCATTTTTGTTATTCGAAATCAAAGTCAAATTGACTTTGAATTGAAGACTATTTTCAAATTGGAATATTTTGAAAAAAAAGCTTCTTAGTCTCAAGTCAATGCGTCTGAGACGTTTAGTCTGAAATCAGCCACAAAAAACAAATGACGTAAAGGAATTGTTCTACACTTGATGAACATTAATAATGCATAATCAACATTTTATTATGCGATTTTCATCAAAAGATAGCTTCCTCAGATATGTTCAATACAATGAATACTCTAATGAAGAAACTACTGCAGAATGAAACATGTGTTGCGGTTTTGAAAGTGTTATTGGGGTACAAAAACAAATAGCGTTAAAACTTTGAACAGTTCTCTCACTGTTTTTAGTTCTTTTGTGTCAGAAATAACACTCGTTTCTCCGAAAGCGTATACGTACATACCAAAGCGAGAAAGGGCCACAAAAATCTATTTTACTAGTTCAGACTCCCATTGTCTATTATGATATATGATTAGAAATCTTTGAAAGAACAAATGAATTCACATATCAAAATGAATAGCTAAATGATATTACAATAAAATAAAAATGAGCAAAAAGGTAAAAATTGAACAATTGAAAAATTAAATGAATAATTAAAACTAATTTCAAACCAAAAGTTACGTCACGACGTTTCGATTGCTAGTATTTCTAGCAATCGAAATCGATTCTGCTAGTATTCCTTCGAGAGATCTATTCCTCCGAATAACTAGGTCATTCGAACGGTTTCACCTATCCCCTCTTCGCCTTCATCGCTTCACCAGTTTACCAGAAGTTGACCGTTCAGAGGGAATTGACCGTTTTTTCGCTTGATTGAAGGTTTCCATACGCTAGCTTGGCTGAATATGTCACTGCACAACAAATATGTACTTCTTTGAAATTCCTTTAAATCAGTGTTTCTCCCTGTGGTTGATCTCAGCTTGGGACCACTTGATGTTATGCTGATGAGTCCAAACATGCTCTGCTATTCCCGATTTGCTGGTTTCTTCTCGTTGTGTTTCTATTGTGCTCGGTAATGCGCATTAACCACCGTCAATCTACCAAAAGAGGAATCACCAAGACTCTAGTATATCGTGCTTTCGGGCAATACGAATGAAGGTCTTGAGAAGGAACTAGGCATATCAAATAAGAGCTTCAACGGAATGGTTACTCCAAAATGATGGTAAAACAGATTTTGGCTAGAAGACATCAAGAGCTTCACAAGGAAAAGAATAAGCCGTCACAACTAGTGCTTGCCCTTCCCCATATGTCAGATGATTGTTGAAAAGGATGGGAAGAAGTGGTTCCAAGTACAACATCAGAACCTGCTTCAGATCCGGAAACGCCACTCCTAGCAGTCTCACAAAAATCAGGCCTCCAAACGCGAACTGGGTTTCCAACTGTGTTTCCAAGGATTGCATTTACTGGTTACCCTGTGAGTGTGGCAATTGCTGAGATCATCCACAGGGAGGAACACTTGTTAAAAGGGGGTTCAAAGAAATTGCATATATCTTGTCCAACCAAGTATTCAGCCAAGCTAGCGTAGAGATACGCCACATATGGAAACCTTCAATCAAGCGGAAAACGGTCAACTCCCGGTAACCCGATAAAGCGGATAGAGGGATAAGGGGATAGGTGAAAGCGTTCGAATGACCTATAAATAGTAATTTCTCGGAGGAATAGTCCAGTTATCACCCGAAGACGATTGTGGATACTGACAATCAAAATGACGTGAAGTAACTTGGTTTAAAATCTGTTTTAATTATTTATTTCATTTTTTAATTGATTTTGAGTATACGTACGTATTTTGATGCGTAGATTACGAATCCGAAAGAAAAAAGCGGTGCTCTCCTTTATTTACAAAGTTACGGCCCTTTAAAGTTCAGAATAGGGCAACAATTCAGCCTTCTTTTTCACAAGATAAACTATTTAAAAACACACGCATTCATTCACTAGGTCACCTTTACACCTTATTCCCCCTTTCTTGGTACTTTTCACTTCAACAATCAACATGTTTTCAATAAAAATGTTGAAAATGTACGGAACTGCTTTTTAGTTGTATATCTCCGTATTTTTTGTTTTTAAGGTTAATGGCATAGTTGGTACGACTGATGCTGTCAATATTCCCAAAGTAATTCAAATGTTTTTTGCCTTTATTATTCAGATCGTAAATTGGTTTTTGATGGTTTATTACGAATTTGAAATAGTAGGCGGCGGCAAATACCAACCGCTTTTTTCTGAAAAGTTGCCCTATTCTGAAATTTGAAGGGCCGTAACTTGTAATGTGAAAAAAATAGGCTAAAAGTTGCAATTTTCGAAACTTTGAAGGGTTCTTACTTGAAGAAAAAAGAGCACCGATTTTTTCTTTCAGATTCATTATCTACACGTCAAAATACGTTACGTACACCCAATTTTTTTCAAAATTGGGGAGTGCAGTCAATCAAAAGTTTCACTAGAATTTTCCATTTTACAATTGTACATGTGAATCAACATTTAAATTCAGAAGTATAACTGTGAAATTACACTAATAACTGTAAATTTACATTTATAACTGTGAAAACACAATTACAAATGTGAATTGTAAAAAAATAATATTTTATATTTTTGTGACCCTTCTACGCTTTCGTACAAGCATGGCTGCTTCTTTAAAGTACAAGTTACAAAAACAAATGGACATATGAAACAAGTTCAATATAATTGTCAATGTCATAATCTGTGTCATGTGTCATTTTATTGGTTATTTCTTACTGGTGTGGTCAGGTGATTTTGTTTGAAGAAATGTCAGGATTAAGTTAGAACGAAGGTTATCAGTAAGTAATACAAATACAAACATTAACAGAGAAAAGAAAGAAAAATTTTAGGGCAATATTATTCTGCGAATCTCCACAAAAATAGCGTTGGCAAATTATTTAATGTAAATCTTATTATTGATGATAGGTATGGAAATAAAAGTAAAAGATTTTCTTATCAATGTCTGTGGGTGTTTCAGTGGTTTTTAATGTTTCTTGTAGATAATGAATGGAAACGTACTATTAGGTGTAGCAGTTTTAGCGGCGTGCTTATCAAGTTGCCATTTATTCCGTTCCTCCAGCAATATTAAGGAACAGTGTCCTCATATATATGAGAGGAATTTCAAAGGATGCTTTCCCAAAGGAAATGTAACTGCAGGTGAGCTGTTCGTCTAAAAACAGTATTTATTTGATGTTGCTGACTACAATTTTAGGTATATTTGAGGAAGTGAAAGGAGTTAACAAACTAAAACAATGTGTTTTGGATTGCTGTGCTAAAGACACCTGTAATGTTGTTTTTATGCCAAAAGATAAATGTTTCCACATTACTTGCAACAGTAACGAATTGTGTATCCCTACGCCTAGCTTGAATATTGATTCTTCGGAACACTTCAATTTGATCTTAGTCAAACCCACAGATGATGAAACTTGGCAGGAAGTCCTTCAACAACAAGGTATTAATAATAATTTTTGGTTGTTCCTCAAAACATTGATTGGTAGTTAGTTTTGAGTCTCCAATCCTTTTACTTTCACAAAAACTGATTCTGAAAAATAAATATATGCCTGAAAAATATCTCATATAGACCCTTTTGTTTTTTTTTTATTTTTTATGATTTTGATTCATTTTCTCACTCAACTAAAGTATTAATACTTTTCATTTTATTATTTTACTCTGCGTTTCTTGGGAAATAAATCATTAATTAAATGACTTACTTGTTACAGAATTTTCAGAAGACAAGGAAATTTTAGATATTCTCAATGACAGAAGCAGGTTCGAAAATGTATTCAGGGACTTGCTGAAAGAGGAGTCGTTTGAAAAGGGTCTGTATTGCACGATTGGATTGAATGATAATTGCCTGCCAAATGAAGAGTGTGTCCAGCAACATCCGAAGTCTAGATCAGGTAATTTTCATTCTTGGGTATTCTTTTCCAATCAGTTGCATCATGACCCAGTTGGGATCTTTGTCGGATTGAAATACATCACAATTTCTTCAAATACAAGTTGGTTTTTATTTAAAAAGCCAAAGTTGCTTGGGAAAGTTTCAATAAAGTTGAAGTTAAATATTTTGTTGTTGCCTCAAAATGTATGTGATATACTATTTTAAGTTTGATTGACTTTTTATGAAGATATTTCTTCTAGAATTAAAAAATGATTTGTTTCGTTATTTATATATTCACTGTACTCTCCGTTAGGTACATGTGAATGCAAAGATGGTTTCTTCCGCAGCGAAAAAGGTGAATGTGTCTTACTTCTATTGGATGAATCCTCTCTTAGACCCCTGCCAAGCATTATATCGGAACGTATTTTAAGTTTTGACAACAAATCCATACCCGTCACTCAACAACCACTTATAGTGAATGCTGAGTCGAAAGAAGTCAGGCTACCTGAGAATGAAGTAACTTTGTTTGCCTCTGTCGTACCCGATAATGCTGAAAAGTATCAGTTCGAATGGACTTCTTTGCATCAACCTGGGGGTAGCACTGCTGTTAAGCACCAAAATGGAGGGCAGTTACACTTGGAGAAGCTTATAGAAGGGATATATTCCTTCAAGGTAAGGTACTGATCACTCACTGACGTTTTCAAATGTTGACATCCCAACAAAAAAACTCCATATCTAATATTCTTAACTTCTTAATCTTTCTTTTGAAGATGATCACTTGGTGATCAAAACACGGAACGAGGTGTTAAAATAACGGTTTGGTATTGGGAAAAAACTCCGGTAATATTCACAATAGAATTGAACCCATTCACATATATAAACAGGAAAATTGGTACTAGAATAATGTAAACTCCCAACTCTTAGTAATCATAAACAGAAATTACATTCAAGTATCTGTAATGGATTCATCCATTTAGTGACTAAAAAATTCGTTTTGTGGAACCTGGCTTGTCAAATAATGATTATAGTATAATTATAATTGATGAAGTCAAACTTCAAGTAGATATCAAAACTCTTTCTTACCAATGAAGAAAACATTCAGAAACTACAATAATTTAATTGCTATTTTTGAACTTGGAAATAAATATTTAGAAACAAAATTTCAATATATTCATCTCTCCCTACCACCTACACCGTAGGTTCTGGCAAATGCCTGCCAGAAAACAACTAAACAACAACAACTAAATTCTGTCCGAAAGTTTTTCATAAAACGTTTTTGAAAAAATTCGTCACCTGGGTTCACTTCTGCTATTAATAATCTGGTCAGAGTAAGAGACTATATATTCAAAAGGTGGAAATAAATTCTTGATAATTATATTATTACCAATATTTATAATGATGCCCAATGAAATTGAGAATGAGAAGAAAAACTATTTTGAAAATCAATTTAATCGATTCTCCTAAGAAAGACCGGAATATTTTGAATAGAATTGTCTACGGCTCTAATCCAAGAAAAATTACCTCTCCAATTTTATTATTAGATAATAAAGAGAATTGATAATTGAAATATCGCCTATACTTTTTGCAATTGATAGAAAACAGTACATTGTTGCGACATTTCTCAACCTTAAAAGGGCATTTGAAACAATTGATCGAAATATTCTACTTGAAAAATTAAAATATTATGGGATATCAGGGATTGTTTTCGATTGGATTAAAGTTACTTATTCAACAGAAAACAAAAAACTAAATTTGGAAAAGAATTGTCAGATGAACTTATAATTGAGAGTGGCATACCCCAGGGTATTGTGTTAGGTCCATTGCTTTTTATTATTTACCTAAATGATATTAATCACATATCTGGATCACACTGTATAAATCTTTTTGCAGATGATAAATCAATTGTCATAAATTCCCTCATAACTACATATGAACCATCATGCAATTCTTTATTTCTATTACCAACAACTCGATTTGTAATAAGAGAAATGACTTCTAATTATTAATGTGGCACGTGAAATATTTGTCGGTCTTATAAAAAAGTTCAAAGATGATAAGGATGTTATTTTGAACAAATCAGAATGGTAGATAGTTTGTACTGGAACCTCTGGTGTAACCAAGGTAGCGTCCTCAGGAGATCATTATGACCATAATGGGAAAACGTTCTCAATAAATTTGAAATCAGAATGGCTTGAGGAAAAAAATAGGACACGCTGCTGCTATAAAAGACCATAAGACTAAGATCATAAGTAAACTAGATGAACAACATAAATACGACACATCTACTATGGTTCAGACAAAAATTGCAAAAATCAAGAAGAAATCTCAAATTTCAGTTAATGCTGGGAATACTATATACGAGGGTGGTTAAAAAAGTTTCGGACTTAACAAAGATACAAGACATTTTTTTCAGTTTTTTTTAATTTTCGACATAGTCTTCTTTTAACTCTAGACACTTCTCTCATCGACTATCCCATCTCTGTAACCCGTCTAAATAATACTCGGTGTTTTTATCTGCAAAATAATTGCTTACGGAGGTGATTGCATACTCATTTGACGAAAATCTGTACTCCGAGCGCAATTTTTAGATGAGAGAACATAAAGAAGTCTCTTGGGGTTAGATCTGGCGAATAAGGCGTATGGTCAAGCAGTTCAAAACATAATGGGGAATGTTCCTCAATTTGGGTTATTACAGCAAATGCAAGTTTGAACAAAATAAAGTTGAGCTTAATTCATGAGTTTTTCAAATTCACTTCGAAAAGTATTCAAATTGATGTTTCAAATGTTGGGTTTTAATTTTTAAAGGGATTTGTTTCTAATTCACATATTGGCAACAGCGCCTATATCAAGTTGAAATAATTTGTACATACCTAGATATTCTACTTTTAAAAAAGGAAAATTATCTTTATGAATCAACAATTAAGGCAAAATATAAATTATAGTTCAATACCACCTCCACAAGCCACATAAACAACAGTTGTTTTGTTATTTATTTATATAGAGGAAGATAGATTGGGTGCACAAAATGTCATATGTCACAGAATGTCTCGGAACTCGGAACAAAGTATTTAAATAATTTTTTAAAGAGAAAGGTTGAAATGATAAGTTTAGAATGCGTTGTTTTAGAGCTCTTTTATAAAAACTACTTGATTTTCGCCATGGCAATCGCTAAGGTGTAACACGGTGCATTGTCTTGGTGAAACAGGATTTTTTTTTTCTGCAAATGTGGCCGTTTTTCCGTGAGTTTTGCCTTCAGCTTATCAAGTAATGATGCGTAGTATGCTCATGTAATGGTTTTTTCTGTTTGAAAATAATTGATTAAAACAACTCCATGACTATCAAAAAAAAAACAGTCGCCATCACTTTCCTTATCGAAAAAACAGATTTTGCTTTTTTGGAGCCGATTCCCCCTTTGCAGTCCACTATTTGGACTGCATTTTCATTTCGGGCGTATAATGGTGTATCCAAGTTTCAATTACAGTAATTAATCGCTGCCAAAACTCGGATTTATTGAGCTTAAACTTAGAGCGTTGGAAAGGTTCATTTGAACACTTTTTTGGTTTAACATGAGCAAACGCGGCACTCAGTGCGCGGACAGCTTTCTCATGCTTTAATGATGATTTATAATGTGACAAAATACGTTCTTTTGACATGTTCATAACCTCTGCCATCTCTCTCACTTCAATTCGGCAGTCGTCTAGCACCATTTGATGAAATTTGGCGATGTTTTCGTCGGTAGTTGCAATTTTTGGACGTCCCGAACGTTCATCATCCCCCATGCTCTCACGGTCACGTTTAAATTCAGCTGCCCAAAATTTCACTAAATGATGGTGCAGAATCCCCAAACACATAATCCCAAATAATCTTTGATTTGCGTAGGGGTATCGCTTTTCAAAAACAAATATTTAATGACAGCTCGATACTCGATTTTGTCCATTTTCATAATAACACTCACATCAACTCATTCAAACGAGTGTTACATAACAACTGCGCGTCCAAAATGGCTAAAACTTTGGTGAGTAACTGTCAACAGATGAACAACGAAATTCATTAGCTTCCATTTACGAGTGCTGCCATCTTCATGTTGAGATCGGAAACTTTTCAGACCACCCTTGTAGGGTTTTGCGAAATGTCGTCAGTTTCAATTGGCATTTGTGGCTGCATATGGCGGGTTCAAACATGATGGGTTCAAACTTTAAGATAACATTTTCATTCCGAACCATTTCAAATCAAAATGTGAAGAATTGTTTTTTGATATTTTGCGATATTTTATGGATTTCATATCCGTCATTTAATGTACTCACATAGCTGTTAGCTCTGATAATTATTTCTTAATTGTACTCGTTCATAAATAACTTGAATTTATTGTTTCAACTATTTTGTTCTGACTGGTTTGAACTGTACTCACAGGTTTCTGCATCAACTCCGACAGCTTATGGTGAAACGTTTGTCAATGTAACTGTTTTGCCAGCTAAAAGATACAATACGCCTCCTACAATTATCATAACTCCCGCAAACCAGACTATAAAGCAACCGAACTCTGCTGCTGTGTTGGATGCATCGTCTTCTACTGATGATGATGGCATTGTTTCGTGGCATTGGGAGTTGCAGCAGGGTCCTTTAGGTAAATAATTAATATTTACTTGGAGATGAGATAGTTCAATTCTTAGTTTTTTTAATAAAAAAATACATAATGGCTCACCACTTGTTTATTTTTTATAGGTTATCAACCTCAGTTGAAGGACAGTCCAACATTGCAACTAAACGATCTGACCAAGCCGGGAAATTACACATTCCGATTGACAGTTACAGATTCAGATAATGAGAATAGTATCCAAACTGCAAATATTACTGTTTTAGCTGGTACAGATTATCCACCGGAAGCTAATGCAGGTATGTAATTGATAAGAAGTTAAAGGTGCCATGTAGTAATATACTTTTTCAGATGATTTTGAATGATGCAACTAATTTTGTCACTAATTTTGTCAAAAAGGATTTGAAGCTTTATAACTTCTATTTAATTATATGCGAGCGCTTTCGATAGCTGGTCGTACTATCATAATCTAGGCTCTACTCAAACTGAACGTGTCATCCTACTACAGGATGTTTAAGTTTTCTCAACTTTATGTTTAAGTGGTCCAAACTTAAACATCCATAAATTCAACAGTCATAAATCACTTATCGAGGAACAAGTACAAATCAAAACACAAGACCTAACATTCAATAAATTAAACAAATCAATACACACTCCTAGACACAGTAAACCTAGAGAAGATCCATGTGAAGATCCATGCTTGATGTGTTGAAATTGTTTTCATTCTCCTTATACAATATATTGCTGAATTAAGCTTCTTACTCGTTTTGTTTATTTGTACCTTCCAATTTAGTTTTGAGTCCAGATGTATTCCAAGGAATTTTAGTGATTTTTCCTCTGTATTGTTTTTGCTTGACATCATTAGCCTTTGAGTTTTTTCTTTGTTTAGCAGGAGTATATTTGCCGTAAACCAAATATCTGCTTTGGCTAGAACTTGCTCTGTCTGTTGTCTTATGTCACCTTCATCTTTGCCTCTAACTAGAAAAGTTGTATCATCTGCATATGCACTTGATGCATAAACCTTGATATTTTCGAGAAGATCGTTTGTGTAGATGATAAACAGAATTGGCCCTAAAATAGAACCTTGGGGCACTCCTTGAGTTACCGGAATTGTCTGAGATAGTGAATTTTTCCACCATGTCGATTGAAAACGATTTGACAGGTATGACTTGAGCAGTTTATACGAAATTCCTCTTACTCCATAATATGATAATTTCTCTAACAGTATTTCATGGTCAACAGTATCGAAAGCTTTACTCAGTCACAGCTTAATATCTGGGAGTCCTCTTGATTATCAATGGCATCTATGATTTTTTGAATAATTTCTTTCATTGCTGTCATTGTAGATTTTCCTTGCTGATATCCATGCTGAGAGCTGTTGAAAAATGCTGAACTGTCAAAGAATTGGACTAATCTCTTTTTGATTACAATTTCGAAAATCTTTGATATTACTTTCACTCAAATATAAGTTTCACTCAAATATAATTTTTGAGGTGTTTATTGTAAATATTTGTTCACTTGCAGGTGAAGACAAGATCATTTATTTGCCTCACAATTCCATAACGCTAAGCGGAAATCTTAGCACCGACGACCATGCTATCACAACTTGGGAATGGACGAAATCGGCGGATGACGCTCAAAAAGCTGTCGACATGCAGGATACCCGTACGCCTTACTTGCAGCTCTCAAATCTGCAGGAGGGAATGTATACATTTACTTTGAAGGTTACAGATAGTGCTAACCAATCGAGCACTGCACAAGTAAGAAAATATTTAACAGCTACTCAACGGATTGATTTTTTTTTATATCAAAAAGTGGGTAACTTTTATATCTATTCTCTCAAGTAACCAATGAATCATGAAACTGCTGTGGATTATTCAAAATAAACATTTCATCTTTAAACTCAAAGTTCTGTATAAATACAAACCCTAATTTGAAGACAGTTTTTCGAATTCAGCTAATTTTAGGCCAATTGCTTTGCTACCCGTCTTGTCTAAAGTTATAGAAAAATTGGTAAAAAAACGAGTAATCTTCCTCGAGAAAAACAATATAATAAACTTATTCCAGTTTGGCTTTCAGTCTTCGAAAGGTACACAAGACGCCATATTTTCACTCCTGGAAAATCTGTACACCAATCTTAATGAAAGAGAATATGCTGTGGTCATGTTTTGTGACCTAACCAAGGCCTTCGATTGTGTAGAACACATGCTACTTCTTCGCAAGCTAGAAGCTTACGGATTTAGAGGATCTGCATTACTTTGGTTTGAGACGTACCTTTCTCATCGGCGGCAGAATCTTGTATTAGATGGAATTTCATCAGAGGAGCGTTTCATTGGCAGTGGGGTCCCACAAGGTTCCATTTTGGGACCGGTGTTGTTTCTCATTGATATCAATGACTTAGTCCATATTGACATAAGTGGTAAATTCATATGTTTCGCTAATGACACCATTATCCTCTGGCATAGCAATACCGCCTCAAATTTACTTGATCAAATCATCGTCGTCATAAGAAGGGTGATGGAGTGGTGGGATTCCAATCTTTCATCATTCAACATCGACAAAACAAATGTGATCACGTTTAGATGTAACTTAGGGGAAGTACACTTGGAAAATATTTAGGGCTCTTCATTAACGAAAATCTAAAACTTGATTCCCATGTCGACTATTTATGTAAAAGATTAGCAGCAAGATGTCATACAGTGAGAGTTGTTGCAAGAGAGTTAGACACTACTATCACAAGATCAGTTTATTTGGCACAAATTGAGTTGTATTTACGTTATGGAATTTGTTTCTGGGGAAATTGTGCACACTTTCTTTTCAATATGGTATTCTCTCTACAAAAAAGATCCATCAGATATTCATGCAAGGCTAGCTAAAAGGATTCATGCTGCCCATTATTTGTGAAGCAAAAAATTGTGACTTTAGTATGTCTTTTTATTTTGGAAACAGCTTGTCTTATCCACAAAAAATATAAAAAAACAATTTAATACCACCTCAACTTATAGTACACGTCATTCTAACTTCATTTCCTTTCCAACACCTACTCTAGCCCTTACACAAAATTCTATTATTTTTAATAGCAAGAAGTTATTTAATCAACTTCCCATTAATTTAAGGGGAATATATAATGAAAAGAAATTCAGAAAGAAAGTAAAAGAATTCCTTGTTGGGAGGCCCTATTACAGTTTGGACAAATTTTACCAAGGCTCTATTGAGTAATTGGCATGTAGCTTTGTGTAAACAAGTTATTGAAATCAACACGAAATGGCTATCAAATTTCATTAGAGTAGAGTAGAGTTTATTCTCTTGTGTGACAATTAAAAAAAAATTGTATACAGTCGTCAAAAAAATAGTAAAAGGAAAATTTTTACTTTTGAGGGTGTATGATTCAATATTCTGATCATAGTTTCTCATTGAAAGTAGTAATGTGGTATCATCAGCATATTCAACATGTTTTGACGATAAGAAATGAGTTATGTCATTAACATAAATAATGAATAGTATGGGACCTAAGATTGAACCCTGGGGAACCCCCCATGTAATTTCCCTTTTGGATGATACTTTTCCATTTGAGGAGGTACACTGATATCTTCCTGTAAGGTAACTCTGAATGAATGAAAAAGCATTTCCTCTGACACCATAACTTTCCAATTTCATTAAAAGAATTTCATGTGACACACAATCAAAAGCTTTGGAAAGGTCCAAAAAAGATGCTAGTGTCACATTTCCTTTCTCAAATTCATCTGTGATGTGAATAATCATATCTACAAGTGCAGTTTATAGTAGACTTTCCCTCACGAAATCCATGTTGTTTAGGGTTCAGTACATTTTTTCTCTCTAAATAGTTGATCAGTCTGATTTTATAAGCCAATTCAAGCAATTTTGATAGAATAGGAACTAGGGAGATGGGTCGGTAATTACTGATATTATTTTTGTTGCCCTTTTTAAAAATCGGTATAACTTTGGAGAGTTTAAGAATCTCTGGAAAAACACCTTCTGCAAAACAGGTATTGATGAAAAACGTTATGGGGCTGATTAATTCGTCTTTTGCAAATTTCAGTGAGTCGCTATTAAGCCCATATATATCTCTTGACTTTGATGTGCTTAATCTGTCAATCAGGGTAATTATCTCTAATTCTGTTACCGGAGTTAAGTAAAATGAAAAGGCTACACTGTTATTCTGTATTGATTCGATATATGTATCGTCATTAGACTCTAATTTTTGGACAATTTCCTTGCCAATGTTACAAAAGTAATTATTGTATTGTACGTAGCATTATATATTTAAATTTACTCAAGATTCATATATTCATGTACTTATATTTGTATCTGTTCAGCTGGGCTTAATATTGTTCTGTCCATATACTTTGCTCTTGTCTCTAAGCATTATTTTATAGTTTTTATTTGTTAATTGTCCCATATACACGTTTAACTTTACTAGACATTGCCAATAAGATGTTCAGATCTTGGGCAATAAAGCATGTTTTGATTTGATTTGAATTGAAATATTGAAAAGCGTTATTTTCATTCCTTAGGTTCATGTGTTTGTAAAACCACCCACAAACAAGCCACCGGTCGCAGTAGCAGGAAATAACCTCACAATCAGCTTACCGCAAACTTGGGTCGTAGTGGATGCTTCCAATAGTACGGATGATGACAAAATCATCTCTTTCAAGTGGGAACAAGTCGAGGGACCTTCCACGGTCACTTTCGTTAATGCGAACGCTACCAAAACTAACGTTACTGGTTTAACGAAAGGGTTATATTGTTTCAAAGTATCTGTGACAGACGAAAATAAAAACGTAGCATCGGACAAAGTGTTTGTCACTGTTAATCAGAGTAAGTTTATATTTTTTCACATGAATCAAACTAAAAAAAAAAAAATACTCTGGATTGATTACTGTATATTCGCTTGAACAGTTTTAGTAATTCGGGGCTAGCTTGGAATTTTCATTGACTTATTTACTCATTAATAATGATCAGTCTCACTTTGAAATGGAGTGCCTTCTTTGATAATTTTTATTCAAAGGACAACCATTTCATTTATGGTTGAAAAAACAAAAATTATGGATCAAAAAAGTAATTTGAAATTGAAAAACATTCTACTGTAAACTATATTATTTTCTGTTGACCAAATGTCACAAAAAGTTATTCTTTATTGAAGGACACGGGCATAAATCTAGATGATAATTTGAACTGGTTAGAGCACATTGATCAAGTTAGCATTAAACTGTTGAAATACACATTTCTTCTTTGGAAATTGAAAGATGTAATCTCTCAACAGGCCCTATTATCAGCTTACTACGCTTTTTTCCATTCTCACATCTCATATGGAACAATTCTCTGGGGAAATAGTACAAAAAAAGTAAGGATATTATCTGGGGCAGATTTCCACGATCATGAGACAAGAGGATGTGATTTGTTGAGGGCCAGTAGATTCAGACTGAAAAAGTCAAGTAGAAACTCTATCGATATCAACTTATACAATATTCTACCTCCCCATGTCAAAAATTTAAATCAATACTTGTTCAAAAAGTATCTGAAATATCTATTGATTTCGAATTGTGTTTATTCTACTGACGAATATATAGCTGTCTTATCCAGAGAAACACAAATAAACGGCGAAACAGTATAATATTTATTCTTGGGTAATAATGTATGTGTGTATATGTGACTTATCTTATTGTATCTAAAAGATCAATAAATTAAATCGTATCCTATAAAATTAAATCCTATTAACAAAAAAAAAACAGATTTTAAACAGAATTAACAAATTAGTGGTACAAAGTATAATATATTTTTATAAAACTTTTCATATAAATTCTGAATTTATCGTTGAAATCAAATTACTCAAGAATTTTTAACACGTTAACAAAAAAGATTGTTGAGCTCCACTTTGAAATATAGCTTCCTGGGGAAGCACTTCAGAAAGTTACGTATCACTCATGTTTCATATCTCACGATAATTTGGAAAAATGGCCACAATGGCAAGTTCTAACCATTGAAGAAGCTATGAAACAGAGTCATCAAGAAGATATTTGAATTTACTGTTATTTTTCGAATGACCCTGTTTTAATACCATGTGTCTGATTATAGACATGCCCTGTCAGATTAATGTAAAGCTTACATACATAAATCAAATTTGTTCTTTAACTCGTGGACACAAATATTCAAATATCCATTAAAATTTGCAAATGACATATAATAATCAGAAATGTATTTGTTGAAATAGGTTTACCCCAATCCCTATGTCTGATTACAGCCATGCCCTATGTCAGATTAATGTAAAGTTTACGTACAAACTTGTTCTTATACTCATGGCCACAAATATTCAAATATCCATTCAAATTTGCAAATGACATATAATAATCAGAAATGTATTTGTTGAAATAGGTTTACCCCAATCCCTATGTCTGATTACAGCCATGCCCTATGTCAGATTAATGTAAAGTTTACGTTCAAACTTGTTCTTATACTCATGGCCACAAATATTCAAATATCCATTCAAATTTGCAAATGACACATAATAATCAGAAATATATTTGTTGAAATAGGTTTACCCCAATCCCTATGTCTGATTACAGACATGCCCTATGTCAGATTAATGTAAAGTTTACATACATATATCAAATTTGTTCTCTTACTCATGGCCACAAATATTAGGATATCCATTTAAATTTGTAAATAGCATGTAGTAATCAGAAATATATTTATTAAAATAGATATACTGTTTACCCTAATAAACAATACTGCTAGTAACATTATTCGTCAATAGTGATATCCATGAATATGAAACAAAAATTCTGAGCTAGATGATGACATTGATATTTGGCTGCAATTCAAAACATTTTTTTTGTTACAATTGTTTGTCCTCTATACTATTTTTTGTAAGTAAAAAAAAATATCTTCATCAGATAATTATTGATATACAATGTTTCAGATAAAAATCAGAAACCCACAGCTGATGCAGGCAAAGATTTCTCTGTGGAGCTCCCCAAAAATGTCGTGATTCTCAACGGATCAGACTCCAAAGACGATTGGGCCATAGTACGATGGAAGTGGACAAGGGATGACAGCTCCCTCGCTCTTGGCAATATAGCAGAAAAAACAGACGAATCACCGATTCTCATTCTAACGGATCTAGCTATAGGAAAGTATGTTTTCAATTTAACGGTGTATGATGAGCAAGGATTGAGTGACACGGATTCCGTCACCTTTACCGTGAAGAACGATCCGAAGTTGTTTTATCTGGTGGAAATCACTATTGATATCGACGCCAGATCGCTGACTGAAGCTCAGTTGCGAACTTTCAAGGGAAAGCTGGCTTTGTTGATCAAGGATGGGTCAAAATTAAAAGTGAGTAGGAAATTGTTGGAATGGGAATTGGAAAAAGTAGCTCGATTTTCATTCATGACTAAAATAGGGCGCTGAATAAACCTAAAAGCTGATTATCCAACGCCCTTCGTGGTATTAGCCAGGGGAGTAGTTGTTTTCTGATGTCAGTCCATTAACCTACTGTGTAGGATGTTGAGACTGTCCTGAATGAATAATACAGTAGGACTGTTTTATTGAGATCAGAAATTTTCATATTGTATTGCTGCAGGTGCTTTTGGCATAAGGAAGTCTTTTACTGCCTTTCTAAATTGCTCAAGATTTTCCAATACTTATAATATTCCGGTAGGTGGTTATATATTTCCCTACTTTAATATATAACTGAATTTTTTGTAAGGGTTGTTTTTGGTATTGGCAAGCTAAGATTGTTGCTTCGGGGGGTTACGTTAGTGCAAGTCAAATTGATGCTTGAAGATTGTTTCCAAAATGAAAATACTAAAGCAAATTCAAATCCAATATAGAGTGGATGTAAACATTGACATGCCCTACGCACGTGATATTGAAAATCCCAAGAATTGGCCAGGGTCGTATTCAGAACCAACATCTTAAAAGGACAAAAAACAATGAGCGACAATAAAACATATACTACCATAAACTATACACTAAAACATTAAAGCACAGTATTCCGTAATTGAGTTTTAAAATGATGCAAGGAGATGTTAAACATCTCAAGATCAACGTTACTATTATCCAATAATAAACTATTGCGCACTCGTTTCTTCCATACAAAATTCAAATGTTTCAATACTTTATGGAATGTTGACCGCTTAAAACTTGGCAATGAAACATCTTCATCTATTTCTGTGAGTACTTTGTCTATCGTGGATATTTCATTTCTGAAAAAGTACTCATGCACTTTCCTTTACACCCATTGCACACTTAATAGAGTGCAATGGGTGTAATTTATACAATATGCTTTCGATAACTCTTAGGAATCCTCTAAGTATTATAATATATTCAAAAATCAGGTGAAAAAATGCTACTTCAAAGGACTTGTTATACCATTCAAGAATTCACTAATCAACTAATCTGAGATCTTCAGTTTCAGCAAATTTGGTTATAGTTTGGCTTTAATGTTTTCCTTTGAATCACCGAATACTTGAGAAATTGTATGTTGTTTATATTATATTAACTTTTTTATAGTCTACAACTATCACCATTTATAATTCTATTACTTATGGATGTTTATCAATACTTTTGGACTGTTTGTGTTATTTATTTATTTATTTGACACTTTGTTACATTGAGTACATGTGCTAAGTCATAATTAAAAAACAAAAATAAAACTACAGAAGTTGAACAATACAAAAACAATAAATATGGTTCACGTCCACAAACTTTCACAACATAGAAGTATTATATAAAAAATCGGAGAATCTCTAGCAAATACTCTCAAAATGTCATGAAAAAGTGTCGTGCAAGAATTCCTCAAGACTGTAGTAACACTTCTGTAAGAGAAGTTTCTTCACCTCAATTTCAAAAAGTTTATCTGACTCGATTTTCCTAATAGATGCCGGCAAGTTATTATAACAGTTTGTTGTATTAAATAGTGGGGAGCATCTAAAGTGAGCCGTTTTGTGTGAGGGGGTTCTTAACAGTTTCCCATGACGGGTGTCTCTACCATGTATATCCGCATTTGTGACAAATTCAGTTATATTGTTACGGGCAAAAGTGACACACTTCAAGATAAATAAAGAAGGTACCGTCAATAGGCCCTCTCTTAAGAAAATTGGTCTACAACTATCTTGAAAATCTATATTAAAAATTAGTCTCAGCAATCTTTTCTGAGCAACAAAAACTCGTGGAAATTCCCTTGCACATCCCCAAGAAATGATATTAAAGCTGATGTGAGAATAAGCCATAGAAAAATAGACATTCATCAATCCAAAATTATCTAGAGTGTTTTTCAATTGTTTGATTGAGTAATATGCGGAATTGAGTTTGTTGCAGACCTTCTGAATATGACCGCTCCAGGTCAAATTTTCGTCTAAAGACGTTCCTAAAAACAAGACTTCGCTGGAAGATCGAATACTATTTATTGTGGAAGAGTCACTGCTGAAATTTTTCCTAATAGATGATTTCATTGAAACAGATTTAGATTTATTCAGAATAAGTTTGTTACGTTGACACCAAGCACTGAATTTATCTATTATTTTATTTATTTTGTCTGACAACTCAACTTCGTTTTTGTCGGCCACAGTAATTGCAGTGTCATCCGCAAACATGGTTATGTGACACTCAGAAAAGAATTCAGACAGGTCATTTATGAAATTGAGGAACAACAATGGTCCCAGGACAGAACTTTGAGGCACTCCTAGTTTTACATCTTTGGGACTTGATAAAATTCCATTGCAGCTAACTATTAGACTACGGTTTTCCATATATGATTTCACCCAGTTCAATAGATTATTTGGGAAACCTAGGCCTGCAAGTTTAATTATAAGAAATTCGGAAGAAATGGTATCAAATGCTTTTGACAAATCGAAAAAAAGTGTTACAACTAGTTTATTCGAGTCAACCTGTGTATAAATGAAATTTAATAAATGGTATGAAGCTGATTCAATTGATTTGTTCTTCCTAAAGCCATATTGGTTATTACTAAAAAGATTATTTTGATCCATGAAATTCAGAATTCTGTTACTAACAACTTTCTCAAACAGTTTAGAGAGGGAACAAAGTAAAGATATCTGTCTGTAGTTGTCTACCTCAGTTTTGTCGCCTTTTTTGTATAGAGGAAATATGAGAGCCGTTTTAAATACATTTGGAAAACAACCTACAAAAAATGACTGATTCATCAAAAACAATAGTGGCTCGATTATAAGGTCTACAATTTTTTTCACAGTAACTATTGAGATACTATCAGTACCTGTGGAGTTTTTATTTGCCATTGTTTCCAGAGTACCTAGAATTTCTGTCTTTGTGAATGGGGATGTATCGAAGGGATACTGACTAACAGTATTCTGTTTTGTTTATATTATTTTGACTGACTTTTATAATTCGGTTACATGTAGTTATTTCCATTAAAATGTTTTTTATATTTACTTTTGGACTTGACATTTTCTTTGTTATTGTTCATTGATTTTTTTTCTATCAACTGTACTTTTCAACCAAAAAATAAATATCATTATTATTATCATTATTAGAATAGTCTGACTCCCAAAGTCAATTTAATATTGATCAAGTTTTTTCGCAGTAGTCAAACATTAAAAAAATAGTTGTGAAACGTAACAAAGCATGTCCTTCCCAGTAGTTCGTTATAAACTCAGTGTGATTTCAGGTTAGCTCTGTACGTTCCGAGGTGCGATCATCCAAAACCCTGCTCTCGTTCTACATAGAAAACGCCGAAGGCAAACCAACGCCAGCCAATGAGGTCGTCCAATACCTGAGACAAAAGCTGCGGGTAGATGCCAGCCTACTAGGCTTCACCGTAACCAAACTCCAAACGACCATCTGCCAGAACAACTGCTCGGGCCACGGCGTGTGCGACGAACAGACCAGAGAATGCAAATGCGAGGCTTTCTGGATGCAGGACATGTTCAAGTTCTACCTGGGATCGGACGAAGACTCTGACTGCAGCTGGAGCATCTTGTACGTCGTTTTGGGATTCGTTTGCGGCGCGATATTCTTCTTGGGCGTTCTGTGGGGAATTGTTCATCTCTGCTACAGTTTGTGTTCGAAGAGAGGTGCCATGTCTAAACCTACGACTTACAAACTCATCGAGGATAATGATGATTTGCCTCCGTGTAAGTATTCAATGTATGATTTTTGTCTTTGGCTGAATAATGTGCTTGGTCAGGTAACATTTTTTTGATATATTTTTGTTTGGAAGCTTTCATTAGGAAACGTAAATGTCGGTTGAATAAATGAATAAACAGAAATTCAATATTTTTACTATATGGGTAAGTATTTATGAATTCATAATCAAGATCTTCAGATGATGTGGTGCTGCAGGTTTTTCCGGGTTTTCCTGCAGCTGAAAAAGCAAATGCGCCACTGGAATCAATGAAGTCGCCCCTGAGCGCCAATTAATTTTTATTGTTGTTTTTATTTTATCGTTGTTTGTAATATAATCATTTATTTATTTATTTACGGGCAAGCTCATTTAAAGTATAAATTACAATGTCCAATTATAATGAAAATAAAATCAGATAAGGTACTGAATTACAAATTCCAACTAAGAATAGCTTAAAAGGGGTAAATAATTCAAAGTTTTAAAAGGGGTTAATTTTAGAGTATAAAAGGACAAAAAACAATGAGCGACAATAAAACATATACTACCATAAACTATACACTAAAACATTAAAGCACAGTATTCCGTAATTGAGTTTTAGAATGATGCAAGGAGATGTTAAACATCTCAAGATCAACGTTACTATTGGCTAATCATAAGATTCTTGGAATGTAGCTATTGAATGTGTGGTTCAAACAATAAAATGGTACATAAAATGTTTGTTGCTGTCGAGTTGAGCGGTTTTGAACATATAAATAAATTTTTTTTAGGAGTTCAGCACATCTGAATTTTCCGTTAATAATATTGAACAGTAGTGTCAGGTCTCTCTGGCGAACACCCGATTTATATGCTATGTATCTGAGAAAGTTGTGTTGGACATTTTCGATGTTCTTAATATAAGTTACACAATGAAGGGACCAGACAAAAGAACAATATTCCAGGTGTGGACGGACCAGTGAACAATAAAGGGCTTCAATAGCAGTTGGGTCTATGAATTTTAGCCATTTGATAAACCCTAGCATTTTCATGGCTTTATGGATAGCCGTTGGTATATGTAGATTGAAGCTCAAGGTGGGACAAGAACAACCCCAAGGGCTTTTATTTGATCAACAGACTCCAAGACATGACCATTTCTAGTATAATCAAAAGCGGTAGAAGGTACATGGGATCGATAGAACCGCATGACATGGCACTTTGTGGCATTCAAGTGCAAGCCATAGATTGATAGATTGTCATGGATGCCTATGGGCATCCAAAGAGGTTTAAATAATTAGGAAAAGTTTTGAATCATCTGCAAATAATAGTGCTTTGGTGTGCCGGAAGCAATGAATAATGTTGTAATAATGTATTGTGATATGTATTCAGATGTATTTCTGTATGCATGTGTGTTGTTTATTTTTCACCTTTCAGAACCAAGAACGGATGTGAAAAAGACCATTCCTATGCAATCATATATCAAAGGAAATGAATTGTATTATTATTATTGAAAATAATGTCAAGTAGGTCATACTGTTGATCTGATTTGCATGAAAATTCTCTATACCACTGAGGCTTCTTAGTGAAGCACTGGTGAAGCCTCGACAATCAACAAACTCCCTCCTTTCTTTCTTAGTGTAACTTTTCAAGGATAGATGTCGCTGTATAATTTGAGGCGGCGTTAACTACTTGGTGCCGCTTGGAGCATTCAAACTATATGACTTTACATATTTGTTTGTTAATTCTCGTTTGATAACAGAGATGTTCTCGTTTCAGTTGCCTCTAGAAAAACAAATTTGTCTGACAGCGATACGGATTCTGATGTCGTATTCGAGTCTCGCTCCAAACTACCACGTTTCAGCGATTCGCGCAACGGGCACAAACCGAATCGGAATGGATATACCAAACAAGGCAGACGAGTCAAAACTTAATTTTCCGCAACGATGCTATAGCAGTCATCTTTAATTTTATCAGAGTTGTGGTTTGCTCCATGTGATTTACATTTTTTATACACGTAACTTTTGACTTTTATATAATTTTAAAGTTTATGTTCCTGTACATACTAGTGATCAAATGCTACTTTTAAAGTGACTTGATGTTACCCAATATTATTTATATTTATTTTATGCAAACACGAGTATTTATGTGCAAACGTACTTTGGTATGTTTTTGTGATTTTCTGGAGAATATAATTCACTGGATTTCTACCTTTTGTTTTATTTTTCCAATTGATCCTCGTGTTTTTATCAACATTAATTTTTAGGAAAAGTTCTTTGGCTTGTTACTACTCCTTTATTATTGATAATCGACTCAAAGATTTTCTAATGTTCTAATTATACAAAAAATATGAGAAACCTTCAATAAAAACTGTACAAAAATGTATAGATCGTGCATATTAGTTTCTTTTGGATAGATGAAGATAACAATCGAAACAATCATTTTCAAGGGTTTCTCTCTTGATAGGAAAAGTGTGGAAAACTTCTGAAGGAAGAAAACAATTTTGAAATACACTCCTTACAAAAATGTTCAGATCATACATTGAAGTTACTTTCAGGTACAAACTGAAAGAAATGGTCTTCTTGAAACAATTACTTTTACATTTAGTGTGAATTTTTCCATATTTTTTGTATAGAGATGGAGAAGTAGAATGCTGAAAAGCTTGTTAGGAATCACATGTTGAAAGGTAAGACTTTATTTGAAAAATATATCACGTTTCGCTAGCACAGTAGCTTTTTCAAGTGACCTCCACAAACTTTATTTGAAAAATATATCACATTTTTCGCAAAACATGTGATATATATTTCAAATAAAGTTTGTAGAGATCAAATCCTGAGGTGTAGTTTTTGAAAATATTCATATTATATCTCAATCAGAAAGCTTTTTATGTTTTTTGAATTCAATGTTTATTCAAATGAAAAACAAAACTAGAAAATATTTTTATTGAATATATTTCTGAATCACTCAGAATTAAAAATACATGTACATTAGATAAATATAAATATAATTATTTGTTTCTTAAGGCTAATAAATATAATATAAAAGCAAAATAATATTGATATCACTTTTTCAACAAAGGTGAGTTCATATAACAAGTAAATAGGAGACACCTGATGAGCAGTAGAAAGTTGAAAATACTCTTCATGGGAGTTTTCAGTATCTGACAAAACAAATTCAATTTTACAAAATTGCAAGTTCATAATACAATTGCATAACCTCTCATATATTCTTCGAATCAATAAGGAATAATTGGGCACCCAGCTTTATTATGCTCAAGAACTTCCAATTTAAGAAGCCCCACAGTTTCTTTGAGCTGATTCACAATAGACCCCAGCTCAACATTTTCGCTCTTCAAAATTTTCACTTTGTCTTCCAATTTGGAGATTCGTTCCAATTTTCGTGACCTGCACTTGGAAGCTGCCAAGCGATTCCTTTGCCTTTTCCTCTCCAGCTTCATTCGTTCCTGATATTCCATATCAACCGGGGACAAGGGAGGGCTGTGTATGACATTCGGAACAGTTTGAGGCTCTTCTTTGATTTGTGGAATGAAAGAATCATTGTAGATGGTACTGCTGTTACTATCGGACCCTTGCTGGGAGTTGCTGTTGTGTAAATGACTAAGAGCTTCAACAAAACCGCCTACAAAACTCTCTTGTTCCGCTGTCACGGCACGGGGAAACAAAAGGGAGGGAGTTGGTGTACTTCCCATTCCGTTGGCGAGGATCATGTTTTCCAACTCTGGGGTGCCTACCTTGAGCATGTTCAGATCAGGAGATGACAGAACTCCGGCGTTCGACAGAGGCAAGGTCAGGTTCTTTTTCTGGTTGAAATCCAGGGTTAGGTTACGCTTCATGTTGTTTATGGAGGCTTTCGAATCTTCTCCACTAAACTGACTCATATTAGTTGTTCACGAACAACTCCCAGCCCAACCAACTCCACAAGTTAAAGAATAAATATACAGGCAAAAGAACTAGACTCAATAGGAAGTAGTAGTAAAAGTCAGGTATTTCCATACAAATCTGTAAAAAAACATGAGGAATGAATTAGTTTGTTTCACTAATGAAAACTGGAAGTTATCTTTTAATGCACATTACAAAGAAAACTTTTTTAAAACGAAAGAGAAAGGCCTCACCTTGTCAAAATCTTTCAACAAATATGATATCTGATGCAAGTTAACTACCAAATTTGTCGTAGGTTTACAAAACTGAAATTTTTCAATCAATTGTAACTTTACTAGTTAACAAGTATCAACTACTTTGTTCTTAACAACAAAAACAAAAAGATCGTCAGAAATAATAATATTAAACACTTATGACATCACCGATGAATCATAATTCCTGAATTTTAAGTTTATTCTTCTTCTTCTTTATAGGTTGTCCTTGGCTGTCAGGTGTCGTTTTTTATTACAAAGTTTTTAGGTATCAAAAATTTAAAAAATGTGAAAAATCTAATAATTACTAATTTTCACTAATACTACTTGGAAGCAGTTGAAAATGTATGGAGTAATTTGATGAATGAATCTTTTGACGTTAACCATAGATTTTTTATTGTGGCAACTTTTTTCCCCAAGATATTGGGGAAAATATATTGGCTCTCTTACATAGAGCAGAAATTTCCACGGCTTATTGGTGTGTACCTAGCTAAGACTGAGTAAAGAGTAGTTCCAGAGAGGGTAATATAGCACTCATAATAGTGTGTTACAGCCGTATATACTGGACATGCGGACAGCAGATGCTGGATATGTTGACAGCAAATACAGACTTCTTGCAGCAGATGTATGAAAATAAGATTTCGAATAAGCAAAATTCTTCAATGTTCTCAAGGAGACCCCGTGCATCGAAATATCCTTATAAAGTCGCAGCTTACATGAGGATTTTTAACTGAACTGATTCCATCCAGATGGCAAATAGTACTGATCACCTCGTTCAGTATTGGAAAATATGAAGTCACTCGGGTAGCTGCCTTGAAGGGAAAAGTTCAGACCCCCTGCTTTTTCATTATCGAATGTTTTTTGATCTTTCGAAGGAACGACTTCTACATGTTAATCCCTAAAAGTAGCTTTCGAAAAATGATAGGCACAGTTTATCTCATTAATATTTCGAAATAATAATCTCTCCCAACTACCTACACAGTATGCTCTGGCAAACGTCTGCGGGCACAAGTCTCATAATGCAAGTATTATTGATTTTCAAAGCAATATGCAGATTATATTCAACTGAATAATAACACTGGCAGTTTTTCTGTGCATGCCAAAAAGTGTGATGATCATACGAATATATGTGTGGTTGAAATAAACACGATTTGGCTTGAAAAGGCTACGCATGTTTTGCTTCAAAAATAAGTCCTTTTCAAATAAATTAATAGCATGTTTTGGTATTTACCAAATTCAAACTAACCCTGCTATGTTCTGTTCCTTGATCCTTAACATTTTAACCAGAGTTTTCACTCTTCTTGTATAGCTATCACTTCCTTCTCAGGCGTATTCACAGAACTATAACTTAAGAGTTATAGATCTGTGGGCACATTCGACCACCACCAACACATAACCTGTGACCACCACTACTGTTTCACAAAGGTCGCTATTGGTCTACTGCGCCGAAAAGAAGCAAAAACCAAAAAAAAAGGAGAAGAAGAAGAAATGTCGCCATGGAACGGAAGCTTCGCTCATTTGGTTAATATCCAAGAGTTTTAGTTCAGTGGTTCTGACATGTGAATGATCGATTCAGATCGAGTGAGTGAGAGCCATCTAGCGTGAGCTATTTGAGTAGAGCCACGTCACTTAAAAGCAAAATTGGAACGTTAAAAAAATATTTGTAATATGAATATTTTTAGGCTCACCGGGGATATATCCCATCTAATAGCAATTATTATTTTACTCCAAAAAATATGGCATACCAGGTCATGTGCAGGTGAGTTTTTAAAATCAAAGAATTGATAACTCTACTGTTTGTAATTGCATTATGCATCAGTTCAATTTTGCCAAATGCTGTGTTATTCTTGTAATATTTTGAATTCAGTTTTGAAATATCAAAGAATGAGAATGTGTAGGATGTTACCTGTATGGGGCTCCCAAATTTTCACGCTATAACTTCCAATTATGGTTAAAAATGAAGACATAACCTTCCACGTCAATAAGGAGTAGTCTCTGCTTACGGAACTATGGAATGAAGTTTACGTTTTCTGTAAATTAGTGAATGAGAAAAAAAGAAAAATGTTATGAAGAACGCCAAAATGGACATTTATTTTTAAACTGCTAAAGGTTTTCAAAAAAACACTGAGATTCACTTGAAAGTATACAAAATCGCAACACATGTTTCTCTATACAATAGCATTTAGTATTGTGACGCCAGAAGATGCTATTGTATAGCGAAACACGTGTCGCGGTTTTGTAAACATTCAGGTGGAAATCTTGCATCAAAGTGTTTTTTTTTAATACATTGGATTTTCATCAAGTATCGGTTAGATCTTTCATATTTTTGATAAAGGTTTATGGTATCTAAGTTTTTTTATATAATAATCAGATGGGACTTCCCAAAGTTTTCATTGAAGAGGGGATAAATAAAAAATGTTAAATGCTGTACTGCATGATTGTTTTCAAGTTACTGTCCTTTAGATTTGTTACTACTACAACACATATTATCACAGTAGGACAAATTAATACTATTATTCTTATGAGTTTTTGGCTATAGACATTTCATTGAAACATTCTTTATTTGCATAAATTCAAATTCTCAGATAAGAAACTCATAATACCATGTCCACCTTAAATATTGATAAGGATCGATAGAGATTTAAGTTCTCGTCCATATGTATCGCTGATAGTTGATAGTTGTTTTCAGTGTAAATACTTAATACATTTTCAAGAAGTTTTATTTCGATTTGATACTGCTTTAAGCCTGATATATATCCTCCATATTTGGAGATTATAAAAATTGTGTCTGTAAAAAAAATAGATCAACGACATGGCTAATCACAGACCGATATCACCGCCGCTTATTGAAAAAATTCTGAAACTGAAAATGAACAATTACTTTGAACAATACAGTTTTCACATTAACAAATCCCCAACTCTTAAAATAAGTAAACTAAAATCAACTGGCTTTAAAAACAGTGTTTTGGATGTTTGTTATGCGGTTTTTTAACGGCTTTTCACATTGTCTCTCACAATATTTCACAATCAAAACTTGAGGAATATGCCTTTAACGCAAAACCAACTCAGTTTACAGAAAACGTAAACATCATTAAGCAGAGACTACTCCTGACCTGATAGAAGTGACCAATACTCAATGAAAATTTGTATTCAAAAAAACACTTCAATGTGAGATTTCCACTTGAACGTTTACAAAATTGCGACACGTGTTTCGTTATACAATAGCATCTTTGGGCGTCACATTACTAGATGCTATCGGATAGATTTTTATCAAGTAGCAGTCAGTTCTATCAGGTTTGGAGTAGTCTCTGCTTAAGGAACTATAGAATACGTTTTCTGTAAATTAGTGAATGAGAAAGAAATGGAAATGTTATAAGAACGCAAATGGATATTCATCTCTAAACTGGTAAAGGTTTTCAAAAAACGCACTTCAATATGAGATTTCCGCCTGAAAGTTTACAAAATCGCGACACGTGTTTTGCTATACAATATCATCTAGTATTTATTTATTTATTGTAACGCCCAGAGTTGCTATTGTATATCAAAACACGTGTCACAATTTTGTAAACTTTCACTTGAAAATACAAATTAAATTGTATATGTCATACATTGATTTATTGGAGACTTCAACACGAGATTTGTTCTTGCCGTGCTAGCGTAACTTGAGGAGTTTTGATGCGAGTGAACTCTAAGTATCCTGAAATTTATCTGTGATAAACGTATACTGCACTCTTTGGTTGTGCAATTGTTCATACAGGGACATAAGTGAACCCCATCTTCTCATTTTTACTAATGAGATAATTCGAAAGCTTTCCGAAAGACTATCATGATTATAGTCATTTCTTTTCAAATTCTAACACACAAATATAGGCATGTCTGACAATATTTTATTGAACAGTATAAATATAAATCACATATAGTATAAATTTAGGACACCAACCTTTCTCTATACCTTTAAAACAAGTTTAAAAGCGTCATATATTATAATTATACTGCCAACCTTTACACATAAACTGTTGATATGTGCCTCCCATGTTAGCTTTTGATCCAGGAGTATTCCTAAAAATCTAGCTACCTGACAGTATTCCAGAGTTTCACTACACATATTGATGTTGTTCATTAAATCTGGATTTAAGGTACCTTTTTGGGTAAGAAATTGATAAACTTGGCTTTCTTTATATTGCAGACAAGGTCATTATCGCTACAGTATTTACTGAATTCATCACATGCATAATTACCCAAGTTTACCAGACTCTCCAAGTTTTTATGTGCTAGGAGTATATTTGTGTTATCAGCGTAAAGTACCATTCTATTTGGTGTGTACGCAATTGATTGATCTTCTGAGGTAACTCTCTTCATTTACTGACCGCTTTTTTAATGTTCAGAAAAGAGGCATTCGCTGTATGGACAAGTCTCATCAACTGGGTTCTTGTAAACCACTATTTAAAAAATTTTGCATCTTACCATTGCCGTGCCTCTACATATTACAGCCTGTGTTATTCATCAACTTTTATAGGAATCAATCAAAGTAGAACTGTAATGAGGAATGAACTGTATGATTTCTTGTTGGATAACTGCTTCTACAGTATGAACGAGTTTCTTGCTTTCAGTGCTTAGATAAATGACATGGTTTCTTTTATACATGTAGTCTTTTTTAAATTTATTCAAGGTCAAACATTTGTGTTTAGTTTTTAGCGTTTTACTTTTTTGACTAGTCCAATAAGTTTTCTCATCTATTTAACGGAATAACAGATTTTAAACAGATTTAATCTTGTAATTGTGTGAAAATTTTAGTGATGAATATAGTTATTTATCAAATTTTGTTTTTCAAACTTCGTAGGATATCTATTGGGAGAAATATCTTTGTGAAAAATAGTTATGAATGTTTATCATGGATATCGGTGATATCAGGACTGAAAAACCAAAAAAAAATATATTGAACAGATTTTATCTTTAACAAAAATTTCAATGCTGAATTTGATTTTTAGGTATATCCGGCAAGAGTCAGATCCTGTTTGCTTTGGTCTACACAACAAGATATCTTGACTTGGTATCGTCATATGTGTCGATGTACAACACATGCATGAAGTTTTTCTTTCTGGTAACATCGTATGCGACGATTTACCTGATCTACTTGAAATTCAAGGCAACCTACGATCACAACCATGACACGTTCCGAATCGAATTCCTTGTACTTCCTGCACTTGGATTGGCTCTACTGATTAATCATGACTTTACTTTTATGGAGGTAAGTTCCAATAATGCTTGGCAAATGTAAAACTACCAAAACAATATAGTATTGCATTCACTAATGCGTTTTTAAAATATATGGAAATTTTTTTATCTATATTTATCGAATTTTCTGGAGACTTTCTCTTTTCACAGTCAGAAAAAAAATTAAAATTATAATGTAGAATATTTCAAAGCTAAGTTGACATCTGTCAAAAAATTTGAAAATAAAGTTTTTTCCCGCTTGGAGCTTCATTCACGAGATGGAACCGTTACCAGGTATCAAGCAGAAATGTGTCGAATATAACTCAATATTCAGCGTGGTATTAGCCAGAGAAGTACTTGTTTTCCGGAAGGCATTTAACAGAACCTACGGTGTAGGTAGTTGGACGAGATGAATATTTCAAAATTTCATTTTATTATTTCCAAAAGTTTTGAAACATCAATTATTGCCTTAGAAGTTATTTAAATGGGACTATTCCAGATTTATACCCTTCTTTCTACATTCATTTTTCAGTTCATTTTGATATACTTATTCAGTTTAAAGGCTCTTATTTTTCTTTGCAGGTTATGTGGACTTTCAGTATCTACTTAGAATCTGTTGCGATCCTACCTCAGCTTTTCATGGTTAGTAAAACGGGAGAGGCCGAAAGTATCACTTCGCATTATCTGTTCGCCTTGGGCTCATACAGAGGATTGTACATCCTCAACTGGATTTACCGTTACGCTACAGAAAATTTCTATGATCCCATCGCCATCGTAGCAGGTGTGGTGCAAACTGTTTTGTACTGCGACTTCTTCTACCTGTACATTACCAAAGGTAAGGTGTTGCGAATACCAGTTTAATTCCACAATTTGTCAGCGTAATGTAAATTTCTCTGTCATAATATAGATTTCAATTTGTTTTACAGTACTGAAAGGAAAAAAACTGCAGTTGCCAGCTTAATAACCTAAGACTTAAGACGATGTATTGTACAAACGTTTCTCAGCTGCAAGGTAATTCATTTACCGATTGTATTAAATAGGTATAGATGTTCATAGATTATCATTTATATATACTATCGACATTTTCTTGTGAAGCCTTAAAGTTTGAGGGAAGTTTTATCTGCCTGGCTTATTCCTAAAGAAATCAATAAATATTATTAATGTAACATTTACATTGGAAAATAAACATTTCAATCCTGAAAAGTAGAATATGAATAAGTACAGGTAACACGGGAAAATAATTGTAACGACATTGATTACAAATTGACTATTTTTTGTATGGTAGAAATTGGTCAGATAGCTTTTTAGCTATTTCTGGATTGTTTTTTAACTCTTTCTTGAAAGTGAACTCCCTGTGCTCTTCATATTAAACTATAAGGTTTTCATTGGGTTAATTTATGTTCCATACAGAGTGAATAACTGAAGAGTTCCAAATATTCATTTGGTTTTCTGTAATAATTTTCAGACAAAAAATAATGACACCCAAGAAAAAGTTTAGGCATGTAATTCCACGATACATACATAAGATTTGAATTAGTTGTGCTGATTTCAAAAAAGGTATTTTTTTTCAGTATGAATGTTATAAAAAACTTTGATTTTTGCTGCTGTTGTTCTTTACTGATTATATCTTTTATATTTTTATGTTTGTAAATATAGGATTGAAACCAAAAATATTTGTGTGTGCTTATATAAGTCAGAATCCGTATCTATAGTTTTAGATTATGTAAAAATTGCGGTAGTTCTCATTCTATAATAGGGCCACTTATTGATTGAATTAATTTTGACATCTTCCTCAATAAATGTAATTTTTGGACAAAAGTTTTGTTTCAATTGTGTATTTCATTTCCTTAAGATTTCCCATATATGCGCAAGCGGCGCGTAACGTCAAAATTATACTCTTTTTTGACTGTATGACCATGTCGTAAGAGCTAATGCACTATGCCACGGTAATCAAAGAAAATAGTGAGCAAAACCTTGACCTTTGATCGAACTTCAGGTGTTTTTTTGAGTATTGGCTCTCCTGGACTCTTCCCATTGGGACAATTGAACTTTGGTTTCGATGTCCTAACCCATGATTTGTCACCAGTTATGACCCATTCAAGCAAATCTGGATCGCATTTGACGTCACCCAACAATTCCTATGCGATGCTCATGCGACGGTTTTTTCGGTCAAAATTCAGAAATTGTTGAACGAATTTCTCTGCTACATGCTGCATGCCCCAAATTAACAAAAAAATTGCATGGCATGAGCCAACCGATATCTCGACATCCTCAGCAACTTCTCTAATAGTGATTTGACAATTTTCTTCTCGACCTTTTGTGAAGACCTTTTACAACATGTGAAGATTTTTCTGACTCACAATCACCGTATGCCACTGTCAACATCTCAAGTGTTTTTCAGCACTTAATTCTATTTTTTACATTAAATTTGTTGCAAATAATTAAGGAAATCATATCAAGTTATCTAGCCAGTTATTCTAACGGGCCACGTTTGCCTATCCAGCAGTTTGGATAATTGTTATTTAGCCACTTTCGAAATATCTTGCTGAAACGTAACATTGGTTGAAAACTCATTTTGAGTGTGTTAACTATTCAACAAATCGGTAGACAGACAGGCATATACCCTTAGAAAAACCCCCTAGATCACTTGAAGACATCTGAAGTGTATACCGCAGTTATAAAATTATCCTTGACTCCATATTATCTGTCTCATGAAAACGGTTCTATGATCTGTCTCTTTAAATCTGTCATGAAAATTCAAATTATAAGCTAATTTGCAACATTGCAATTTACCCTATTTTTGTACTGAAAACATAAGAGGGCGTTGAAGGCAAAAACATGCCGTTGAGGGCGTTAGTGTGTTCGACAAATAGTGACATTTGTTTTTGGGTTTGCTGTGTTCAGAATTGTGTATTTGTGAATTTGATTTTTCAGACATAGACGTTTAAAACTGTTAAATGAATAGGTGAGCACAATGTAAAACTTGGCTGACCGAACTTTGTTGTACCGTTTGACTTAGTTCTGATATTTCTGATAAATGACGTATCCCGATAATGAATGTCTCTATGGTGTTCTAGGAATTTATTGAATGAGAATGTTAATTATTTAGTTTCCTGAATTTAACACACTGGAATTGAAAAACAGTCATATATTTTTAAATAAGGAGTTTCTTGATAACATTTTTTTGGATGTTGTAGTGGCATTTTTCCTTATGGCAACACTGTTTACTAGGAACAACTGTTTTTTGTTCTGTCAATACAGTCAAAAAATAAACAGCAAAAATTAGCGATAAGAAAATAAAATTTCGGAGGTGAACAGTTGTCTTCCTTGAAATAAAAATGAATGCGATGGAGAAAAGTTTCGAAAAAATATTGGAAGAAATGTGAGTCGATAAAGAATTATATATTTTATCGAGATAGTATCACATTACATACGTTATCAAAATCATCAATTTATTACATATTTGTTTGGACAAAAAATCTACAATGTATGAACATCTTCAAAAATCAAAACACAAGATAAGTAAAGATAACCTCAAAATCCTTAGATTCAATTTTAAAAACATCACTTTTGTTGCCGTATGGTTAAGCTAATTACATTTACTTTCAACATAAAAAAGTTTCACAGTCCAACTACAAAAACACTAGAATGAAATAAATACCTTTTTTCAGAGAGTCTGCACCAGGAGTTACTGGTTGTATTATCACAGACCATTCAGGTCTTGCTTTGGGAAGTAAGTATGAACTATCTTTGAACAATAGCATTTATCACTATTTTTATTAATATGTACACATTATGTAAACTGGATCTATCTATTGAAACATCCATCATGAAGTGTGTCTAAAAAAATTACTTGTTTTTGAGTCTATTTACATTATTTTGTTGCAATGTGCAATAGAAATCACGGTAAATTTTCGTTATCTGGACACCCGGCGATTTACCGAAATCACTTCAATCATTACTGCATTGCCCATGAATATGTTTGCTGCAGTTGCAGCTCTAAAATTCTAGGGTCCTCTGCTGAGAAATTCAAAATTAGCTAGATTCATAAAATAGGCTTGTGTAAAGTTGCATTCAATATTATATACTATACTAATTTATTGAAATTCTCAAACTTTTCAGCAAGAGGTAAACCTGTGAACCTCAAACCCGGTATTATAGCGGCCATAGCTGAACAAGCTTCAAAAATAGAGTCACATGGCAAGACACCTACTATCCACTTTGAAAATGACTCCCATTCCTTCACAATACAAAGATCAGGAACAGTGACGTGTGCTGTATATAGGAGCTTGGGCAAAGCAATTGATATTTCATAGATATATTTTAGAATTAGTTTCAAACAATAGTGAGAATTTCCCCAGATATACTTTTCAAATTTGTTCATATAATACCGGAGACACCCTTAAGAAAAGGCAACAATTCATTTTATACAAATAAAGGTGGCAAAATAGTACATTTGAAGTTTTTTACTCTACCACCATGCTTTCAATTATCCACAAGTTTAATGACTGAATGAATTTTTTTATTGGAGAAGTATTTCTAGGTATTGATACATCTGAAAAAAATGTTGATTTTTCACTCATTTCAATGAAACAAAAAGTTTAGTAACGTCGTTTATAAATTTCTTCAACAAATTTAACAGACTCAAACTATTTTAATCACTTTTCGTCAGACTTTTCCTCTTGTATTGGGCATATCCCAATTTCAACAGCTGGCGATTTTCAAATGCCCACATAATTAATGTAAATACGAAACATGCAGCTCCTATTCCAATGTGCAGAACCATTGATTTTTCGAGTATGTATACCTGAAAACCAACCATTTTAAATTCCACTTGGGAATATCCAAAAAAACAATTAAACATAGGTTCATTTTTACCCACCTCACTAAGTTTTGTAATGATTCCTGAGATCACCAGTCCTATCACAAATTTGTAACCTGGTATTAAACCACTGAGAGGATTGTATTTGGTATCCTTATATTTTTTCTTTGTGAAAATTATGCTAAAATTTTTTTTTCGAAATCTCATTAAGTTTTAATAAACTATTTATTTTTCCAGCAAATATTAGCAAACGTATTTTTTTACCTGTGTCCAATTCTAACTGCCATGTTGACACAATTGGCTAAAATGAATCCCACTGGACCAACAAAGTATGTGAAGAGATAGGCAATCATTAAAAATGTTATTGAAAATATGACCATTAGATAATTGTACCTGCAAGAAAAATCATTTAATAATATCCATTTTAAACAGAATTCATATAATTCCATTAAAACAAAAAGACTGATTTAATGAGAGTATTTATAATAAAAAAAAAGGCACTTTGTACTCGAAATAAAAAGAGCACGCTATACGCAAAAAGAAGATCCTATTCATTTAATAACTTTTAGACAAAGTCGGCGCTGTTTCGACCCACCATAGATCTCATCAGTGGTACTGGGCTGAATCACCAATGCATTGCTGGACTCAAGTACCCTTGAAGGTCAAGCCTAAGTCAGTGAGATCGATGACATCTATGCAATCGACACAGAACTCAATCCTCGAATATCAAAGATAAACGGGACTCCAATGGCGTTGTGTTTGTGCTCTGGTTTACAGGTAGTTGCCTAGCAGTGAAACCTGCAGTGAAAGACAGGAAGCTTGGCTTTGTGAGTGACTGCCTTGAATTGAGTTCTCTGTCGATCCCACAGATGTACAATTGGTTAAATTAGAAGAGATGTGCCACAGGAATCTGTTTTGGAACCCTGTGTCATGATCTATATTAGAATTGTGAACAGTCTCAAGTTTGGTTATCAAGTAACAAACACAATAACCTTGCAATATTTTAATACAAGACTGCTGAAAACGAAAAAACTAATAATAATCTGTCAGAAAATGTTCAAGGTATGTAATTTCAAGTTCCAATTTCTGCATTTTTATTTATCTCTATATGGAATGACACAGAAATGTGGATTTTTTTATATATGCTAAACATTATGAGGTATTCTGAAAAATGCATATGACTGTAACAATGAAATCATTGTACAAAGCGCAATTCAGTCGTTTTCGGGATAAAAAATTTGGAATTTGGAAAGAAGTCAATATTCCTAATAAAAAAACAATTCTACGCCTCCATTTCAGAAAAAAATGGTCACTTGGGTTATTGTAAAGCATAATATTCCAACTTTTCGAAATGTATCCAAAAACTATTCTTACCTATCAAGTTCCTTGCTACCGATAGTGGCAAGAACAAATCCCTCTGTTACACCGTTTATTGCCAAAAGAACAACAGCAAGGCTGTGGAACCGCAGCATTGTGACCGGTAAAGTATTTTCTACCAGATTGTGGCCTCCATATGTAAACAAAAATGAATAACTATATGACTGACCAAAGACAAACACAAGTAGTCCTATGCTTATTACTACTCTACAGAGATGACTTAGAACTTCAGCGGATTCTGATACGAGTTTCTGGAAATAAAAAAACATTTGTATAAAACTATTATCAGCTCTTTTTATTTAAACTTCAACAAGTATAGTATAACTAGTAGCTAGTATAGTATAACTCATCTTGGTAATGATACCAAGATGGCGGGCGAGACGGACTCACGTTCAAATGAGCTCTGTTTATATTGTAATAAAAAAGTGAAAAAAGGTGTAAATTGTTCAAATTGTGATGCAGTATTTCATAATAGTTGCGCTGGAAGGAAAAATTGCTGTGACAGACAATTCATCTCTAATGGGAAAGTAAGTGATAGCTCTGAAGAGATGGAGGACGTATTAACACAAGATCTCCTAATAAAGTCATTAAAACTAGAAAATAAGTTACTATCAGACCTGAATAGCGAACTAAAAGAGATAAATACCTTGATGAAAGAAAAAACGATAATACTCGAAGAAAAAATTCATACACTGGAACAGCTAAATACAGAAAAATTCGGAACACCCTGTCACTCACACAGACAGGAGAGCCCTAATGTAGTAGAAGAGACTATCAAAAAACTTGTTCACCACTACTTTTCGCAAAATGCAGAAAATTCAAATCTTCAAAATAAGGGCAACTTACAAAAAAAACTAGTTGCTGGAAAAACATCTCCTGAAATACAAATACCTGACATCAAATTACATTCCAACAAAAACCAGGTAAATATAAACATAAAAAACGGAGCTGATAAAGAGAAGATTAACAAAACGAATCATACAGGGGGATCCACGAATCATAACATGTCTAACCTTGAGGCAAAACAAATTGAAGTGTGCAATGAATTATTCAACCTGGATGGAAATAGTGCTTTAGCTTATGAAAATGGTGACATTAAGAATGATGACTGGCAATCACACAGAAAAAAAACAAAGAAACGACGANATTTTCTCATGGAATTGAAACCATGCTCAATTCAGAAATGTTTTTTCTCATGATATGTATTATTATTTAATGAAGTTTGGTGAGTAATAGAATAACCTGAATGAATAATATAGAATAATTATTTGTTTGTATTAAATTTTGTTGAATATTTTAATAGGCCCATGCGAAAACTTAATGGTCCTAATGGCCAACTTCACGTTTATTTATTGAAATTCTATGTACAGTTACTGCATATTATAAATATGTCCCCATGAAAATAAACGTATATGAGCCCGAGCACATAGCCGTAAATCATGCTGCTCTGTTTTCGATGTGCCACCCTGTATAAAGTTTCTTCATATAATAATCGATAATTTTTCTACGACAGATTTTCTGTCATTAGTTGTCGGCAAACTCAAACATCCTTTTAAGTTCCTCGATCTAGTTATATAGCAATTATCTGACAACGCTGCACCAAAAGCTACCTACGATCAAGTGAAAGTAAAATCAAGCAAACCCCATCCAAAAGCGTGTCTGGCCAAAGCTGGTCAGTAGTACAGAAATACTCACTCTGACTGGAGACTGCACGGTGACAGGTGCAACTACCGCATGCTCGACGTCTCGCCCGTTTCACGGTGAACATCATCAGGACCTTCAACTTATTTCTTGTGTCTTTTCCACTTTAAGTGAGTGTGTGAGCATTAAGGACCATGAGGGGTACCTGGTGGTGCCTTCTCTTGGTGTTCGCGACCGGTACCGACGGTATCAAGAGTGTACCCTCGAGGTTGCCAAGAACGAGTGCGGGTCAGTTGGCGGCGGCTGCTGCCGCCCAAAACAAAACTATTCACGAATTGAGAAATTCGCGAAATGTGACATCGCCAGCAACAGTTGGGACTCCTCCGGGTCGTGGATCTAGCAGTAGAGTTAGGTGAGTTGGAAAAAATTAAGGGTTGAAGTACTATAAATATATTTTTGGAGAAGGAAGTTTCCAACTTTTTCATTTTCAGATGAGGTGTCAACTTGGTGGGTTTTATTTTGAAAAAAATTACGAATGAACTTAGATTTTGTACCGATGTTTCGAAACTTTTTGCTATCCCCCTCGGGACTCATATATGAATTGAGACTAACACTCTTTTTTGAAAGACACATCTAACGTTAAACTTTGTCCTGTTTTTTTTTTCAAAAAGATGAACAATAACAAACTATCACAGTAATGAAGAGAATATATTTCTATATTATTTTTTTATCAATATATTGATTGATAATTCTGAGTTGAAAACAGCAATTGAAACTGAAGATTGTTATGCTAATAATAATAAATGGTACTCAGAACATCTGAATGTTCATTAGTGCTGTAGTTTTTTTATTTCGAATCATCTACATAGTTATTATTTTTAACTGACTCACATATCATTCACGTTTGTGTCTTTGAAACTGAATTGAGCATTTTTATATTTGATTTGTTTTGCTAATGCCACAGTATAATAATATTCATTAATTTTTCGAAATATATTTTATACTTATGATGCACTGTTTCGATCGTTTAGTGTAGTAATGAATATTATTGGAGTTTTTTCCCAATACCAAACCGTTATTTCATCACCGCGACACGTGTTTCGATCACCAAGTGAAAGAAGTTTAATCTTCCTCTTGAAGATGATCACTTGGTGATCGAAACACGTGTCGAGGTATTAAAATAATGGTTTGGTATTGGGAAAGAACTCCAGTAATATTCATATTGTATACTGATCAGTGTGAACTCATATCCTTTTAATTTATTCACAGTATATTCGACACATGTCGTAGATATTTTATCTTTGAGATTTCAATAAACTTTTTAGGACAAAGGAATATTTTAATTTTTAGAGAACTACTTTCACTCCTATTGAATTTTATCATTTTTTGGAATTTTGTTATTTGAAGTTTGATATTTTTTCTTATTTATGTGACCAATATCGAAAGAGGATTATCGTTTTTTAAATGAATAATACCGTTGTTTTGGTTATTAAATTAATCGGTCAGTTTTTTTGATTCCGTGTTTTGGTGATTTCAGGTTCATCTTTATGTTAAAAATGAAAACCCTCCAAATTGGTGGTTCATAATAGTAGTAATGTACATGTTAGTGTGAACAAAACAGATTCATTATTATTTACATAATATCAATTTGAAATCTGGTGGCTTTATCTTGATGCCCCTGCAAGAAAATTCATTGATGAAACAAGTTTTCAGTTTCTTTACAATACGATTTGATTTAAAATGAAAAGAAAAACAATTTATTTTCACAAAATATTTGGAATTTGAGTATTTTGAATAATTTATGAATACTGATGGTAACATTTTAATGAAATAATTAGTCTTTCATTGGATATCACTTTCAGTGCCATGCTTCCCACTTTGAATATAATTTTAAATTATTTTAAATATAACGATTTATCACTGTTGTGGCTCCTCCAGGTCGTGGATATATCAATATAGTTAGATGAGGTTTGGAATTGACTAATTTTTTTAATTTAAAATAGAGGTGGAAACTTGGAGGAATCCATATTGGAAAAATAACGAATTTCAATTAAGTTTTACTTTCAGTATTATTATATTCATTTTAAGTATACATGTGGATACAATGCAAACCTCTTTCATTTCGAATATTGTTATTTAAGGTTTTTTTCTGTTAAGATCCTGAAAATGTATTTTATGTTATCAATAATATCGGCCAGCAAGACTGCAATATCACTGATACATTTCGATCTGACAAATTTCAGTACTTGGGAAAAAGAATTTTGTACATCCAACATACATTTTCATGTGAGAGCCCTCAAACATTCCAAACGAAAACTTGTTAATACGATTGATTCGATGGTATCATTCAGTCTACTGAAACACAGTGAAATACATCAATATTTGCGGCAATGACTTGAATAACAAAGAATCTGAATATGTCTAGCAAAACAACTGAAATTCATGTCGACCCACTTCGGATAACAGAAAATGTCTATTATGTATAATTATCATTCAGTAAAACGAATTATGTTATTCTTTCGAATCCTTTGTTCTCCGCGACCTTCCGTGAAAATAATTTCAGAACCTCGTTATGGTTCAATCAAAGGTAGAAATAGTTGGCAAAGTTTCAACATCATCTCTACTCAATCCTGATGTAGATAGAAAACTTTATTCGTTTTTTGTAGATAGATCTGTAATAATGTTGTGAAAAACAAACAGTTTTTTCATTGTCGATCTTAGTTTTTAACCAAGAAAAAAGCCAGCAATTCAATGAAAACAGCAATTCAACGTTGACAAACAAACCACTCAAATTAATTTTCTGATTATAACAGATATTTATATTGGTAGTTCTCGTGTTCAATATTCAATTCTGATATTGGAAGGGATCCTTTTTCTCTCCGATAAACAGGATATTTTGGAGTACCTCATAAAAAGTCAAGTGAATAATGTCCGGGGAATTTATACGAGTAGTCCACACACCACTTCTTTCGAATCGTTAGGAAACTGTTCGATATAGAAAATCAGATTGCCTACTTCTCTTATTAGGAGATACCGCATTATATTGAAATCATATATTCTGAATTTGCGCTGAAGATATATCCTCCAAATAATAATAACTTTCGCTATGGCTTGTCGGATAATTTTTAAGTATGACTGCAGCTTTCTGAACGAACGTTTCCCACAAGTGGCCGTCGATGGATATATCTCGTATACTTTTGCCATCAACGCTGGTGTTCCCCAAGGATCCATATTGTCTCCAACCCTTTTTTTATTGTATATGAACAAATCATTGGAAAAAAACAAGAATTCAATATATTGCTTTGCTGACGATAGCACACATGTTTCGTCGTTTCATTTGGATTCCAGGACATCGGCTGCAGATGCACATCTTCACCGCAGCGGGAGTTTGCGTATTCAATGCCTCAAAAAACCCAGGGATCGGTTTTGTCCGAAAAGATAAATGTTTTCGAATCGGATATAATAATGTCAGGACAGACAATGCCGCTTAATGCTTCGATAAGTTTGTTGGGGGTTAAAATGGGCACCGATACGTCTTCGCACAATCATGTCGCTGAAATTGCAAAGGTGCTTCTCGGAAGCTTGAAACACTTTATAGAGCTCAGATCAGACCCTAAGCATACCCTGAAGCTGCTGGATTCCATCCAGCAAAGTTCCATCCGCCTGATTGGAGACGTGAACATCACTTGCAACTTTGATAGTCTGGAACATCGAAGAAAGGATGGATATTTATCTCTCTTTCAAGTGTTCAAGTGACTTGGCACATTTTATTCCACCAAGAGCCGTACATATCAGAAATACACGAAGGACTGTGGCTGCGCACCGTTCTGAAGTTCAACTCAATGCACTTCGAATTTCACTGTTAAAAAAATCTTTCCTCTAGAGAACTGCGTTTATGTGGAATAAACTTCCTGAGAACGTTTATCCAAATGGATTTAATCTCCAGCAATTCAAATCCAATGTGAATCGCTACTTTCGCATAATCACCGCTCTTAGAACACCCTAAGGATTTTTCTGTAGTGCATGTGTTTTTATTCAACTCAGTCAACCAATTTCCAGGGCCGTAATTTGAAAGGGAATAATTCACACAATTGTAATCGAATATTACCAAAACATACCGAAATATAAAATTGACTTTGATTTCTCAGTATGAAGTGAACGTCTACGATCCAAAAACTACAACAAAAAATACAGGTCCGTATTCAAAAATTCAAAGATTGGGGTGGCCCAAGTCAGATGAAACCCTGTATAAAAGATTCATGAATATATTCTGAGAGCCCACATCAAGTGCCAATAGCAAAATGTAGACAGATTTGCAATATGTCTGCGAATAAAGAAGATATAGGAAAAAAAATTATTTGTGATTTTTTGGTTTTTCCTGTATCTCCAGAACCAAAAGAGCTATATTCGATTTCTTTACATCATTGAATAGGTCTCTAAAATACACAACTTTGCCACAATTTAACCGACACTCTATATCTTATCGTTCACGAGATCCCCA